AGTCGATGGCATACGGCATTCAATCGCTGCCTATAACAATGTAATCGTTTCCGTGAAAGGTGGTCCTGCCTGTGGGCTTTTGGCTAATCTGTGCGTGGGTTCGTGGCGCCGTGCCGTACAGGCGCGCGCGGGATTGCTTCTGCTGTTGTGGGTCTAGCTTGCGCTGCGTTGACATCATCGCCTGCTTGCTAGCCTATAAGTGGTGTGGTGGCCCCTGTTCCAGGTGATGGGATCGTGCTGATCCTTGCGTTGGAGCTGGCGAATGTTCTGGTACATGCCCATTTGCTTGTGAGGTCGTGAAGAGCTTGTCACCGTTGCGCAGCGCGGCGCGCGTCGTGCTGCGCGTCTCGTGCGCAAGCTGCGGAAGCATGTCTGAGATAGGCGAGGCCGTGGGCTTGGCGATGGGCAGTCAATGTGGGGAAAGTGGGGCTCTGCAGTGCTGGTGCGTGACATGCAACTCTCGCTTTGGGAGGTCTGCGTAAGGCAGCGCCGTGCGTGCTAGTAAGCAGCATCGTGGTTTCGATTGGTGCTGTGGAAGAAGCAAATTGTATGCGCGTGTCGGCAGTTCTTCAGTGGCTCCTTGCTGTTGTTCCCTGTCTCTCTCCCCCTGATGTGGACCTTCTGCAGCGGTGCTTTTGCTCGTGCTGTCCTCTCGTCATGTCTTGTATCACATTGTGTTTGTTGGCTTGTGTGCCTTCGCTTGTGGCTTCGACGAGGTCTCTGTGTGCGTTGCATGTCGCGATCGTTAGATGTATTGAGTTTGTGGAATTGTCGTCGGTGGGTTATTTGCATTGATCTGGCCTCGCCGAATCGCTGCAAGTCGGTCGCCATAGTGGCTGCAAGCGATGGTTGCAATCCGTCGCTTGATACCATGAGGTATGCACAATAGCCTGTCTTGGTGTCCTGTTGGTGTGTGGTCCAATATAGTACTGGGTGGTCTGCAAATAGCGTTACTCAATGTCTGTCTGGCTGTTGGGATCTGGGATCTGCTGTCCGTAATTGCTGCTGGTTCGGAGTCCGAGTGTAGTGCTTCATGGTGTTTTGCTGAGGTGTCTGCAATTCCCTCCATGGGTGTCCGTCGTGGCCCTGTGCAAGGTGATGTTGTGCGCTCTCTTGGTCTGCTTGTACAGAGTCGGAGATGTCCTGGTGATGGTGCCGTCGCTGTGTGCGGAGTGGTATAATATGTGAACGGCGCTGGAAGAGTTAAGTAACAACTGCTTGCTCATGTGCGGTGACTGTTGTGCCGCGTAAATGATTGCCCAGTGAATTTCTGCGAGTTGTACTTTTGTGCTGTCTAGGCTGTCGTGGTCGGCGTTTTGGTGTAGATGCCATGCGTGATGCCGCCCGCGCAGAAGCCGTGCATGGTTGGCGCGTGCCCGTCGCATTGGAAGACTACGGATGCCAAGGCTGAAGCTGATTTGATTCGTTGTAGTGGACCATCTGGGTAGATGAGGATTGAGGAACATGTCGGTCGATGCTGGTTGTAGAGGTTGAGTGCTGAAGTTGTGGCTTCGCGTGACCTAAGGTTGGTGAGGTCTGTTCGCAGTCGCATGTGGCGATTGGCTTGGTGGATGGTGGTATACAGGTGGTCTGGTAAAGGCTGCTGGGTGTGGCGAATCAGTCTGCTAGTCAGATGGAGCGTGGGAGTCGCGTCGCTTTCTCTGCTCTGCTTTGGCTTCTTTTGTGGCACCTGTCTAAAAGTACTGGCCTCTCTGGTCTGGTCAAATACAGTTGTGGGATTGAGAATGGAGTCAGCTGTCGTTGAATGGGGGCCCCAAGCGCGTCTGTGCTTGGCCGTGTCGCCACTGGGGCTAAGTCGGCTGCTAGTTTCTTGGTCCTATTAAGTCGGCGCCTTGTTGTGGGTCTGCCACTGTGGCCACCGTGGTCTCGATCGCCGCAGGTGCATGTTGCGATGCATTCCTAGGTTGCGAGTGGGAGGCTTGCGGTCGATCGCTAGGGCTCAGCCTGACGATGACCTTGTGCTGTATTGCTAGGAATTACACCTCGGTAGAGAAGCAATAGTGCTTCGTATTGCTCAACTGTCTCGTTTTGTTGTGGTGGGCTGACGCGTTGTGGTGTATCGCCTGCTGGTAGTAGGTGATTTTCGATGTGATGGCTTCTTTCGGAAGCGTGGTGTTGTGGAGTGGGAGACGAGGTGGGTCTGCCAAAGTATGCCTGTCGGTGTGAGCGGTGGTTCTGGTGATGAGTGGACTCGAACTAGCGATCCACAACGATGCAATTGTTGTTGCGCGGGCGTGGCTTCCGTGAGCTGCTGAATTGGCATGCAGGTCGACTGTGCAGTTGCGTTGACCCCCGTGTCGTCCACGTCGCCAAACTCGTCGCTTATGATGTGCTCGAGCTCGTCATGAATCCGTTGAACTTCGTCTTGCACTTGAACATCTTGTCGTTCTCCTTCCCGGTGTTGGCGCGTATGGTCGAGCAGTTCTTCTGCGTAAATTCTGATCGCGTCCTCGATGTCGTGGTTTAGATCGTCCTGGTGCTGGTTGATCCATTGGTGGAAATGCTTCTGTCGCCTTTTCCTGTGCTTGGTCTGCAAACGCCTGGATTCGTGAATCCGTACATTCTTCGTCTCGTTCGGCATGCCATCGTTCAGATTGCATCTGTGCTGTCTCGTACCTTGATTAAAGGCTGATGCTGGCTGTATATGTCGGCTTGCGTACCTTGCTGGTGCTTCTCAGCCGTGCTGATGTGTGGCTGGTAGTGCTGTTTGGCTATGTGGAATTGCTCGGTCGCACTTGCCATGATGAGGTGTGCTGCTTCTTGGTCCTGGTATTTTGCAAGTATGCTGCTCTCGGCTGGTTATATGTGTTGAGCGGTTTGTGTTGCTTCTTGTGCTGCGCTTGTATCTTTGTCGATGCGCTTGTTCACGGTGTTCCCCAATTAGAACTTGCCTCTGTAGGGGTCCTGGCGGATTCATATGGTTAGGTGAGGTGGGTCGCCGATTTCCGTGGCCGGCCCGGGTGCCCGGGTGCCCGGGTGCCCGGGTGCCCTGGGGTGCCCGGGTGCTCGGGTGCCCGGGTGTCCTGAGGTGCCCAGAGGTGCCCAGGGGTGCCCGGGGGTGCCCGGTAGCCCTATAGCCATAGCCATGTAGCTTTATAGCCCTATAGCCTTACAGCCCTATAGCCCTAATAGCCCTATACCCCATATAGCCCAATAGCCCTATAGCCATATAGCCTTATCGCCCTATAACCCTCTAATTCTATAGCTCTATAAGCCTACAGCCGTATAGCCCAATAGCCCTATAGCTCTATAGCCGCATAGCCGCACAGCCCTATAGCCCCATAGCCCTTAAAAATATCGGATTGTTTTTTCCTCTGGTATCATACCATATATGAAGTGTCCTTATCCCCATTGTTTCTGTGTTGAAGAGCATGCTATCTACTTTGTTGCGCTTCGTGAGCTCGTCCTTGCTCGATGGCTTGCATGTTGTTCTCTACGATGCGGTGATCTTGTCTAGCTTGTTGTATTTGCTCTTTATTTTGTAGTCGGTAATGGTTGTATATTTGCTGTATCTCTTGTTGCATGCGGTCTTCCATAATGCTCTCTGCTTGCCGAATGAAGGTGTCGCGTCGGTGGGGTGCCAAGTTTTGCCGGTTCTCGAGTCGTTGGTTCCTGTGCTATTGCAATTACTGTCGTAGCGTTGAAATGGTGGTCTCTTCGCCGTAGTGTGAGCCGTGGTGTACCTTGCAGGCCGACAGGCGATATTCCTCCTTGGTTTGGATGTTGCTCAGTTGTGATTGTTGTTGCATGGCGACGTGGCACGCCACATTGGAGACGAGGGCGTTCACGCGAGACCTTACGCTGGCAGCTTACGCGCGAGTGTCGGCGCAGTTGGCCCAGTTTTCTTCCATCGCTCACGCGGTGGCTCAATCCTGACGTCGAAGGGCAGTGAACACCTCCAGAAGCCTTCAGAGGTCCGACGAGGCTTCTGAAGTTTCCACAGGCCCCCGAAGGGACAAACAACATGTAAAAGTGCAGATCCTCCTCCTCCTCCTCCTCCTCCTCCTTCTCCTCGAGTTGTGACCCAGCCGAAATATCTCGGGATCAATTCTAGGTAGTTGCAATCGGTCTTGACCTCTCCTCCTGTTGCTCCTCGCTACTGCCTACGTCTTCCTGGCCACAGCGTCGGAATGGCCTGGGGGTGGCATCGATCCAGCGAAGGGGCAAGTGCGCCCACTTTCGCACCGTCCTGACCATGCCCCGCTCCTCTCTCTCCATTAGATGGCCACAAAACCACCCGTGCAGGAAGCACCCCGACAGTCCACGCTTCCTGGTAGACGCACACAGGGCAGGGCTGTTTCGTGAACGCCCAAGACCGTCTGGTAAACGCAACCTGTGGGGGTCGGGGTGCTCTCTCCGGCCCCCGCACGCGTGCCCGCCAGGGAAGCCCCTCGCCGCTGCGCGCCGCGCGCCGCGCCGCGAACTGCGGCCGTGGCTCCCGAAAGCAAGGCCGCTCTGCGCCGCGGCCGCCCCTCTCAGCTCCCCGCGGTGGCCGAGGTCTGAGCCACCGGCGTGCCCGATACCTCCTCCCCTCGAGTCCTCAGGACGCGTGCCAGCGCCAGCGCGTGCCTGCCCACCGAGACCCTTCAGCACGACGCAGTCCGTGTGCTGAGGGCCGGCGCACACTGCGTGCCATCGGCAGAGGCCAGCGGGGCAAACGCACGTTGGTCCGACACACGTCCTCAGGACCATCGATCCTCGGTCTCTCGTTTCGCTTCTCATTGGGACAAAGTTGTCACCCACCCACCACCAGCTCAGAAGTCAAAGGGAATCGAAGAAAACCTGGAAGAGCAGAAATGCCAGCCTCCAGCGCCATCAGCTCGGTCGCGAACGCGGACCCCACGCCCGCGACACAGCGTCCAACGCGACACAGTCATCGATCCTCCCTGCTCCCGTGTCCGCCCCCGCCGCCGCACCCTGCTATCCCGTCCCCCCCCCCCACCCCCTCCACTTCAGGGTGGCGGGTGGGCGGGGCGCGCCACGACCGCGAGCGCGAACCACCGGGGGCAGTTGAGGCGCTCCTGGGCGGGCTGGGGGCAAGAACCGACGACGACGACGGGCACAAGACCTCCGACGCCGAGCTCTTCTCGAGCTTTTTTTTACCCATCGAGGAGAGCAATTGTCGTGTTGGGAGGCAGGGGTTGGGAGAATGAAGTGTATGAGCAATAACATTCGGATGCAATGCACGATATCTTCGGCCACCAACGGGTAATGTTATTCTCATGTCTCCCAATTCGATATCTGTCTTCTTGACCCATACTGAGCCCTGCGGGACCGCTTCCGGGTCCTGGGGTCATCAATCTCGAGGGTGCGGCGGACCCGGTGAGGGCCCTGAGCCAGGCTGTGCCTTGACACGTCAGCTGTACGCTGCTGTGCCATACTTTGTGTGCAATTCTATGCAATGTTGTGATCTGGTGTGCAGTGTGTTGTGCCTCGCCGTTTAGGACGGTCCATGCGTTTCGCCTGGGACGTCGTCACGATATTCGTCTTCACTATAACCACCATCGGGCCGGGGCCTCCTGAAGCAAACTGTGGCAAGCAACATGTAGAAAATAGGACATCGCACATCGGCCTCTTCCGTCCCCCTCTTGCTGCAGCGCGCAGGCACGGAGAAAGTAAATCCGTAGTGCCCATACCTTCGCGCGCGCACACGCACATGCACGAGTAGGACGTATTTGGATGCGGAGAGGAGGAGCAAAAAGGGGAGGAACGCTCCCTCGCCACCCTAACCCACGGCCTCGAGGTAGGCGTCCATCGGCTACACGGAAAAGTTCCCCTGTGCGGGAGTGGCTCCAGTGTGCTGCTTCAGGGGGCCGCGGGGGGCCAAATCCAAGCGCTCAGGCCAGTGCCGTGGGGGGCCTCACTGGGCCCACACCGACATATCAATCCAACGATGCACCTTTACGCGTGGCCGAAAGGTCCAGTTGGAAGTCCCGCGTCCTCCTCCTCCTCCTCCTCCTCCTCCTCTTCCTCCTCCTTCTTCTCCTCCTCCTCCTCCTCCTCCTCCCTCCTCCTCCTCCTCCTCCTCCTCCTCCTCCTCCTCCTCCTCTCCTCCTCCTGCTCCTCCTCCTCCTCCTCCTCCTCCTCCTCCTCCTCCTCCTCCTCCCCCCCTCCTCCCTTCTCCTCCTCCTCCTCCTCCTCCACCACCATCCACCTCCACCTCCTCCACCCTCCTCATCATCTATCCTCCTCTCCTCCTCCTCGTCTCTCCTCCTCCTCCTCGTCCTCCTCGTCCTCCTCCGAGGCCTCCTCCCCCGCCCACCTCCTCCTCCTCCTCCTCCCCCTCCTCCTCCTCCTCCTCCTCCTTCTCCTCCTTCTCTCCGCCTCGTCGTCGTCGTCGTCGTCGTCGTCGTCGTCGTCGTCGTCGTCGTCGTCGTCGTCGTCGTCGTCGTCGGCTCCGCGAGGCACGCACGCCACCCCGTCGCAAAGGCCCACGAATTCGCGCACGTTTTCGCGTGGGGCCCCTCAGAGCGTAGAAAGGCGCGTCCCACTACTCGCAAAGCAAGTACGCGCAACTGGCCTGGATCCGCCGCGGGGGATTTACAATCTGTTACATCGATGCGCACATGTGTTTTCAAGACGTTTGCGAGTAGGCATTTTGCGAATTGTGGAACGTGCTCGGCGAGAACTGGGGATTCCAAAACGGTCTGGTGACAGATCGCGCGGTGACCTCGGAGTCCCACAAGGTCTCACCGCACGGTTTTGGGACCTTGGATGCCCCTAGTCGCCCGAAGCATCCTAGAAGAACGACCCAAATTCCAATGCCGTGCGGGTTTCCAGACGCATATTGGGCACCCCCCTGACCTGCCAAGTTGCAAGTTTTGTGCAACGAGCCTGTGGAGCATGCTGGATATCCTGTGTTGAGGCCTACAGGCATGAACGCGCGTGCCAAACGCACGCGAGGCATGAGCATGTTGGATATCTGCTCGCGCATGTATGTGTACGTGTGAAGAATCCGCCGCTCCTTTCTACCTCAGGAGTAGGGCAATATGCACGCCCACTAAGGAAAACCCTGGGTCCAGAACGGGTCGTGATATCACCGAAAAGTTTGGTCCGACTATCGATTTGACAAAATTCACTGTCAGGGGACGTTCCATTTCGCAAAGGGGTAGCTCCAGCTTGGTTAGTCGGCAAGTGCTCAAACTAGTTGAATGTCCGTGGTTAAACGCATGTGAACTCACCAGGGCACCCCTTGCGCGTTCTGCACAGACGGTGTGTGTGTGTGTGTGTGGATCGGCCGCCACAATGGTTGGCCAGGGCACTGGTTTTCTTGCGCCCCTCTCGGATGCGCGTGGCAATTTCCACGTGGCACCGTTCGTGGTCGGCGCCTCTCTCCGTCTGTCAGCTAGGCCGGCGGCGGCCTTACCGACTTGCTGCTTGCGCCCTGACGTGGGGTACGGGCCGGCACGCCGCCGCGGCCTTTTCATCTCCTGCATCCTGGCGTCGCACGTGGGCGTGCGCGTCCGCAATTGGGGCTGCAGCTCGCTGCCCCTGCTGGGCTTTCGGCTGTCTGTCAGCTTGCTCTGCCGGCAGCGTTCCTGCGCGGTGCTTCGTCGGTCCCCTCCCCTTGAGGGTCGCGGGGGTCGCTCGCCTCGCCGTCGTCGGTCGATCGCGGTCGGCCGTGTCGTGGGTCTTCCACCGTCGTGTCTCTGGGCTCCTCTCCTGCGTTTGCTCTTGCTGCGTTCCCCCCCCCCTCCCTTCGCCTCCTTCCGGGTCGTCCCCACCGCGGGGGTCTGTCCCCTTCTGTTTGAGCGTTGACGTATCCCGTCGGCGAGATCGCTTTGCTCGTCTTCTCTTTCTCACTCTGTCGCCGTTTGGTCGGAGTGGTGCGACCTTTGCGGTGATGCGTACAATCTCTCTTGGGCCTAGATGGTTGCCCCATCTTGTTGGCTTTGCTTTCACCTGCCTCGCTGGTAGCCCTTCGCGGCTCTGGTTGCGGTTGGGGTTTGCTGTAACTCTGGCGTCTGCACTGCACGTTCGGCCATGCTCGCGCCTGTCGTTTACCCATGTGCACCGCCGCGTTTCACTGCTGCTGCTCGCGGTCGCTCGCAATCAACTCCGCATTCGTTGTCCAAGGCTAAGCCAACCTCGGCCACGTGCTCATCTTTATCATGCCGACCTCATGCACCCAGTTGCACGGTCGCTCCATCTGTAACTTGCTCGCTGCAAGGTCGGTGGCGTTGCTTTGTCTCGCAGCTCCTTGCGTGAATGCACCGCCACCAAGTTGGCTGGTCTGGCAGCCACAGTTCTTTTTCATTGCTGTCTCTTGAGGCTTCAATTAACACTAGATTGCTGCTTTCGCTTCAAACTACCCGCCTCGAGCTTACGTTCCTCGAGTTTTTGGGCCGCATTGCAGCGCCTCCCGTTTTTTCCACTAATCTGTGTGGCCGTGACTGGACTCTTTCATCATTGCGTGTTCGACTAAGTTCGTCCGCAATTGGCACCTCCACCTGCCGACGGCGCCTGAAGTTCCTCTGCGCCGCCGACCTTACAAAGTGTGTGAATCCGCCGCCACAATGGGCCAGGGCCAGTGCGGCGCATGAGTACGGCTGAACACACTCCTTTCCGGCGCAACCCGCAAACAAAATACGTAAGTGGGATGCGCGACGAGCGAGAAGTGATGCAAGTCTGAGAATTCCTCATCCACCCTGTTTCTTGCCTCTGCCTCTCTGTTTCTCTGCCCATCTCTTTCAATTCTCTCTCTCCCTCTCTGTCGGTGTCGGCTTCTCTGTCTGTCTGTGTGGGCATCTGCTTGCCTCGGTCTCTGTTTCAGTGGGCATTATTTGCCTCTCTTTATCTGTCCCTCTGCCTCCGCCTCCCTCTCTATGTCTCTGCCTCTGTCTCTTCTACTTCTACTTCAAAATCCCTCTCTCTCTTTCTCTCCGTGCCCACGTATGTCCGTTTCTATTAATGCAATTCCGCTGCCCTCTTCTTGTCTCTGCCTCCGTCTGGCTGACTGTTTGCGTCTGCTCCCTCCCTCTCTCTATCCCCCCCCTCAATGTCAGTCACTCCCCTTCTACCCATATCTCCCGTTGCTCCTGGAGCATCTTCAGCGTACTGTTGAAGAAAGGGGCCACAGCCACGGCCGCGATGGCCAGGAACGGGGTGGACACGCTGCCATAACTGCCGGTGGCGCGCGGGGGCGTACACCGTGTTGGTGGAGCTGAGCAGAAGCAGCGGCGACGGCGGACAGCAGACAACGGTGACGGCGGCGAACGGCATGCCTGGGAGGGCCAGGGGGACGGTGAGGGATGAGGTGGCTGGGCAGAGGTACTCGATGCCCATGCGCAGGCCTCCGATGGAGCCTGGCCCGAAAGCGACCACTGGCGGCTCTGCTCCATGCAGCGGACCACCTGCACGCACGTGCACCTCGAGAGCGGACTTCGCATGCGCAGTGCGCCCTGGCCCTGGAAAGCCCCGCAAGGCCCCAGGTCTTCGGAGGCCCTGGCCGAGGGGGCCCCGCACTGCCACTCTTATTCCCGGCCGGCCGGCGCATGCCCGCGCGGCGGCCCGCCTGAAGTACACGGCGCTCAGGTAGACCTGCCCCGCTGCCCCGCCCGCCGCTGCCCCCTACGCCCCTGCTGCTCCTCTTAGGTCGGGCCTGTCCCCCTACAGGGGGATCTTGGACGACAGATAAAACATGCTCAAAACATACTCAGAAAAGATGCCCCCAAATACTCCAAAGATAATCCCCAGACCATTTTTTGACTCCTTTTGCAAAGTCCCCCTGTAGAGGGACAGGCCCGACTTGATGCTCCTCCCCTCCCTGCTGCTGCCCAGTGCCGAGCGGGACGCGCATCACCCACCGGCCGAGGGCCCCCCGCGAGCCCTTGGCGCCCCGCCAGGCCTTCTGGGTGTGCGCTCGGGAGCTTCTGCTGGGCGCGTCTGCCCGGCGGCCCTGGCGACACGCTATGCCTTGCGAGTGGAGGAGGAGGAGGAGGAGGGCGTGCCGCTTCGCCCCGCGGGGCGGGATGCTCGGACGGGCTCGGGACGTGGACGCCTGGTGACTGGGAAGCGGCTCTCGTGCCGCGCTGGAGAGTGGTGGGCAAGAGCCGGCGGAGCGACACGCTGCCCCAGAGTGCCCGGCCGTGGGCGGTTCAGCGAGCTAGCAATCTTCTCTAAATGCTTCACAACGGCCGAAGAAGGGGCACGCTGCTCACCCTCCTGCCACTTCTTAGAACGCTGCTAAATGCCTCACAACGGCCGTACTTACCCCACCTGCTCAACCTCCTCTTGCCCCTTCGGGGAGAGGTTTCCCTCTTCCCCTACCCCCCCCCTCCATGGGTCCCGGGCGGGCCAAGCTGTGAGGCGTTGAGCGTCCAGGATCGCCCACACTGCCCCAGATGGCCCAAGACGGCCTCCAAGATCGTGCAAGATGGTCCAAGACCACCCCAGTACTGTTCCAAGTGGCCACGGAGCGGAGCGAGGACCCCCCCGGAGAGGCCAGCATCCTTCTCAAGCCTGCGAAGCATCAATGCCTTTGTGCTCTCGCCTTTTTTCGCTTCCGATGGGCTCGCGAGGTCTCAGGGTGGCTCCAAGATGGCCCAGGAGAGCTCCAGGAGGGGCCCAAGACGCCACGATGGCCACGACGTGCCTCCCACAAGCTCCCAAAGCGCGACCGCATGCTGCTACACGGCGGGCTCCGGAAGCACTGAACCCAAAAAACCTTGCCATCTCTTGAAGGGCCGATTTCTACTTCCGCTGGCTTCTGCCGGCCTTCCGCGGGCGGAGGTGCCCTCGTTTTACTTCCGCCGCCTTCCGCCGAAGAACCGATGCCAACTCCTTCGATCCTCGAAGGCTAGGCCCTTTGTTGAGTGCCTCGACGTTCCTGATCCTGGGGGAGGGAGGGGAAGGAAGGAGGTGGAGGCGGCCAGAGGGTCTGAACTAACCGGGACCTCGGAAAATCGGCCAGGACGGGTGGATGGGGCCAAATCCGCAAAAAATCGGTCCCCGGACCCCTCCCAGGGTCCAGCTGGTGCACTTTTTCGCCCTGGATCCGTTTCTCACGGTCCTGGGACCCGAAAACGGCCCCCAGGACGCCCAAGAAGGCAATTAACAGAGTCCCGAATCCAACGCCTCGAACCCGCCCGCCCTTCCTGCTGGCCGGAACCAGTGCTGGGCCACCTCAGACCCCCAGCCGGCTCTGGGAAGGGAGGCTGGGTAGTCGAAGCCAATCTGGCGCCAATCTGGCAGGCCCAATCTGGCAAACGGGGGCAATCTGACGAGGGAGCCCACGCGAATCCAGTCTGGCGAATAACCCCAATCCTCCAGTTTGGCCAAGCCAGATTGGCCCTGGGGGCCCAATCCAATCTGACAGTCTGGCCTTCGACTACCCAGTCAGACCCCCAGCCGGCTCTAGGAAGGGAGGAGGGCCCTTCCAAAGCAGGAGGAGGAGGAGGAGGAGGAGGAGGTGGAGGAGGAGGAGGAGAAGGAGGAGGAGGAGGAGGAGGAGATGGAGGAGGAGGAGGAGGAGGAGGAGGAGAAGAAGGAAGAGGAGGGCCCTCCCAGAGCGGCGGACTGCGAACTTCGGGTTGAGCTTCAGCGGGGCGAACAGCAGCGGGCTCCCGCCGCTCCTGGCGCTGCGAAACTGGCGAGGGCGCGGAGCGCTCGGGGGGGCAGCGGAGCGAGAACCTTGGAGGAGCAGGATGGGCATCAGAGGAGGAGGAGGAGGAGGAGGAGGAGGAGGAGGAGGAGGAGGAGGAGAGGAGGAGGGAGGGGAGGAGGAGGAGGAGGAGGGGAGGAGGAGGAGGAGGAGGAGGAGGAGGAGGAGGAGGATCGAGGAGGAGGAGGAGGAGGAGGAGGAGGAGGAGGAGGAGGAGGAGGAGGAGGAGGAGGAGGAAGATCAAGAGGAGGAGGAGGAGGAGGAGGAGGAGGAGGAGGAGGAAGAGGAGGAGGAGGATCAAGAGGAGGAGGATGAGGAGGAGGAGGAGGAGGGCCACATCCGGAGGATCCTTCAGCCGTCAGGAACCAAGAATAAGGAGGAGGAGGAGAGGGAGGAGGAGGAGGAGGAGCAGCAGGAGATACGGGGGTCAAACAGAGTGTGACATGTCGTGCTCGCGGACAGGGGCCGCGAACATAGGCACCAGAGCCAAGGAGCCACAAAGAAACCCAGCCGCAGGAGGATGAGGAACACCTTGCAGGAAGCATCGAGGCAAAACGGAGTAATAATCCTTGACGCAAACTTCCTCCTCCTTCCCCCCCTCGTGTGAAACATCTTCCTTCTTCGTCAACCTTCCCAAGCCCTGGAAGCACCACGACGTTCTCTCGCGGACAAACACAGGCACAAGTAAGGGGCGGCGGTCCGCATGACGAAGATCGGCCAGCACACCGCGACCATCACGGCGGAGTTCATGCTCCTCGTTGCAGCCGAGGCAGTCTCAGGGAGGCGTGACGGATGCTGGTGGTGGGGCGCGACGAAGGCAGCCAATAATGATCAAGATATGGACCCTCTCCCATCCCAACATATATACACACGTACACCTCCCCTCGACAGCTGATGGCGGAGGACCAACAACATCAACATGCCAAGGCGCAAGACACGACCCGCATATCCTGTCGACGCCATCACCTCACTCCGCCGTCACGGGGCTGTCCGACAAAGCGCGGACGCGATTTCTGCAGACAGGGGAGAAGGAGGGGATTAGTGGAGCCTGAGCCTCTGACTGCACACGTGGGGAGAGGGGGGGAATAGTGGTTCTGGCCTGAGCCTCTGACTGCCCACGTGGGGAGTTGGGGGGAGTAGTGGTTCTGACTTGAGCCTCTGACTGCACACGTGGGAAGAGGGGGGAATGAGTGGTTCTGACCTTAGCCTCTGACTGCCCACGTGAGGGGAGGGCGGGGGATGAGTGATACTGACCTGAGCCCCTGACTGCCCACGTGGGGAGAGGGGGGGATGAGTGGTTGAGTGGTTCTGACCTGAGCCTCAAACTGCCCACGTGGGGAGAGGTGGGGATGAGTGGTTCTTCCCTGAGCCTCTGACTGCCCACGTGGGGAGAGGGGGGATGAGTGGTTCTGACCTGAGCCTCTGACTGCCTACGTGGGGAGAGGGGAGAGGGGGCTGCTCACGTGGGGAGAGGGGGGGATGAGTGGTTTTGACATGAGCCTCTGACTGCCCACGTGGGGAGAGGGGGGGGGGAGTGGTTCTGCCCTGGGCCTCTGACTGCCCACGTGGGGAGAGGGGGCTGGACCAGTGGTTCTGACCTGAGCCTCTGACTGCCCACGTGGGGGGAGGGGGGGGGGTGGGGTGGGGGTGGGGTGGTTCTGACCTGGGCCTCTGACCGCCGACGTGGGGAGAGGAAGGATGAGTGGTTCTGCCCTGAGCCTCTGACCGCCCGCGTGGGGAGAGGGGGGGACGAGTGGTTCTAACCAGATCCTCTGACTGCCCACATCGGGAGACATGTGGGGTGATACATGACTCTGACCTGAGCCTCTGGCTGCCCGCGTGGGGAGAGGGAGGGGGGATGAGTGCTTCTGACTTGGGCCACTGACCGCCCGCGCGGGGAGAGGGGGGGGGTTCTGACCTGCGTCTCTGACTGACCACGTGGGGAGACGGGGGGGAAGTGGTTCTGACCTGGGCCTCTGACTCTGACTGCCCGCGTGGGGATGGGGGCCGATGAGTGGTTCAGACCTGAGCCTCTGACTGACCACGTGGGGGGAGGGGGGGGGGTGAGTTGTTCTGACCTGGGCCTCCGACTGCTCACGTGGGGAGAGGATGGGGTGAGTGGTTCTGACTTGAGCCTCTGACTGCCCGCGTGGGGAGGGGTGGGTGGGGGGGAGTGAGTGGTTCTGACCTGGGCCTCTGACTGCCCACGTGGGGGGAGGGGTGGGTGGGTGGGTGGTCTGACCTGAGCCTCTGACTGCCCACGTGGGCAGAGGAGGGGATGAGTGGTTCTGGCCTGGGCCTCTGACTGCCCGCGTGGGGAGAGGGGGGAGGGGGGATGGGTGGTTCTGACCTGAGCCTCTGACTGCCCGCGTAAGGGAAAAGAGGGAGGGTGGCAGGAGTGGTTCTGGCCTGGGCCGGCCTCCGACTGCCCGTAGTGGTGGGGGTGGTGGTGGTGGTGTGGTGGTGGTGGTGGTGGTGGTGGTGGTGGGGGGGGGGGCAGGGGGGGGGGATGAGTTGTTCTGATCTGAGCCTCTGACTGCCCGCGTGGGGGGAGGGGGGGGGGGTGAATGGTTTCTGACCTGGGCCTCTGACTGCCCGCGTGGGGGGAGGGGGGGATGCGTGGTTCTGATTTGAACCATTGACTGCCCACGTGGGGAGAGAGGGGGGAATGAATGGTTCTGACCCGAGCCTCAGAAGGGGGGGGGGAGTGGGGGGGGCGATGAGCGGTTCTGACCTGAGCTTCTGACTGCCCACGTGGGGAGAAGGGGGGGGATGAGTGATCCTGGCCTGGGTCTCTGACTGCCCTCGTGGGGAGAGGGGGGGGGATGGTTCTGATCTGAGCCATTGACTACCCGCGTGGGGAGATGGGGGGGGATGGATGGTTCCGACCTGGGCCTCCGACTGCCCGCGTGGGGGGAAGGAGGGGGGATGAGTGGTTCTGACTGCCCGCGTGGTGTGTGTGTGTGTGTGTGGTGTGTGTGGTGTGTGTGTGTGTGTGAGTGAGTGAGTGAGTGAGTGAGTGAGTGTGCGTGCGTGCGTGCGTGCGTGCGTGCGTGTGTGTGTGTGTGTGTGTGTGTGTGTGTGTGTGAGAGAGAGAGTGTGTGAGTGTGTGAGTGTGTGAGAGTGTGAGCGTGTGTGTGTGTGTGTGTGTGTGTGTGTGTGTAAGTGAGTGTGTGTGTGTGTGCATGGTTCTGACCTGAGCCTCTGACTGCCCGCGTGGGGAGAAAGGGGAATGAATGGTTCTGACCTGGGCCTCTGACTGCCCGCGTTGGGAGGGGGGGGAGGAGTGGTTCTGACCTGAGCATCCGAGTGTCAACGTGGGGAGGAGGGGGGGGGATAATGAGCGGTTCTGACCTGAGCCTCTGACTGCCCACGTGGGGAGAGGGGGTGGGGTGAGTGGTTTCTGACCTAAGCCTCTGACTGCCCACGTGGGGAGAGGGGACAATGGATGGTTCTGATCTGAGCCATTGACTGCCCGCGTGGGGAGATGGGGGGGGATGAATGGTTCTGACCGGGGCCTCCGACTGCCCGCGTGGGGAGGAGGGGGGGGGCAAAGGGTGGTTCTGCCCTGGGCCTCTGACTGCCCGCGTGGGGAGTAGGAAGGGTGTGATTTGTTCTGACCTGAGCCTCTGACTGCCCGCGTGGGGAGAGGGGGGAATGAATGGTTCTGATCTGAGCCATTGACTGCCCGCGTGGGGAGGGGGGGGACTGAGTGGTTCGGACCCGAGCCTCCGACTGCCCGCGTGGGAAGGAGGGGGGGCGATTAGTGATTCTGACCTGAACCTCTGACTGCCCGCGTGGGGGGAAGAAGGGGAATCAGTGGTTCTGGCCTGAGCCTCTGACTGCCCGCGCGGGGAGAGGGGGAATGAGTTGTTCTGATCTGAGCCATTGACTGCCCGCGTGGGGAGAGGGGGGGGGACGAGTGGCTCTGACCTGAGCCTCCGACTGCTCGCGTGAGGAGGAAGGGGGGGGGCGCGATGAATGGGGGATGAGTGGTTCTGACCGGGGTCTCTGACTGCCCGCGTGGGGAGAGGGGGGGATGAGTGGTTCTGATCTGAGCCATTGACTGCCCGCGTGGGGGGGAGGGGGGGGGCGATGAATGGTTCTGACCTGAGCCTCTGACTGCCCGCGCGGGGAGAGGGGGGGATGCGTTTTCTGACCTGATCCTCTGACTGCCCGCGTGGAAGGAGGGGGGAACGAGTAGTTCTGATCTGAGCCATTGACTGCCCACGTGGGGAGAGGGGGGGGGATTGCCCGCGTGGGGGGAAGGGGGGGGGGGCGATGAGTGGTTCTGACCTGGGCCTCTGGCTGCCGCGTGGGGAGATGGGGGGGGGGGAGTGATTCTGACCTAGTCTCTGACTGCCCGCGTTGGGAGGAGGGGGGAGTGAGTGGTTCTGATCTGAGCCATTGACTGCCCGCGTGGGAGAGGGGGGGGGATGAGCGGTTCTGACCTGAGCCTCCGACTGCCCGCGTGAGGAGGAGGGGGGGGGTGGGGGGGGGCGCAGAGTGGTTCTGACCTGGGCCTCCGACTGCCCGCGTGGGTAGAGGGGGGGATGAGTTGGTTCTGACCGGGGTCTCTGACTGCCCGCGTGGAGAGAGGGGGGCATGAGTGTCTCTGACCTGAGCCTCCGACTGCCCGCGTGGAGAGGAGGGGGGGCGATGAGTGGTTCTGACTTGAGCCTCTGACTGCCCGCGCGGGGAGAGGGGGGGTGAGTTTTCTGACCTGAGCCTCTGACTGCCCACGTGGAGGGAGGGGGAGTGAGTAGTTATGATCTGAGCCGTTGACTGCCCGCGTGGGGAGAGGGGGGGGAATGGTGGTTCTGACCTGAGCCTCTGACTGCCCACGTGGGGGAGGATGGGGGGGGGATGAGTGGTTCTGATCTGAGCCTCCGGCTGCCCGCGTGGGGAGGAGGAGGAGGGGGGGGGGGGCGATGGGCGGTTCGGATCTGAGCCTCTGACTGCCCACGTGGGGAGAGGGGGGGGGATGATGGTTCTGACCTGAGCCTCTGACTGCCCGCGTAGGGAGAGGGGGGAATGAGTGGTTCTGATCTGAGCCATTGAATGCCCGCGTGAGGAGCGGGGGGGGATGAGTGGTTCTGACCTGAGCCTTCGACTGCCCACGTGGGGAGGAGGGGGGGGGGGGCAAAGGGTGGTTCTGCCCTGGGCCTCTGACTGCCCGCGTGGAGAGAAGGGGGGGAATGAGTGGTTCTGACCTGAGCCTCTGACTGCCCGCGTGGGGAGAGGGGGGGAAGCGTGGTTCTGACCCGAGCCTCTGACTGCCCACCTGATGCCGCGCTCCTCCCCCGCCCGCCGTCCGTGCGGAACGGCGAGCAACGAACAACTGCCAGCGCCCGGGGAGGGCGGCCCGCTCCTCGGCGACAGGCGTGCTCGCGCGGGCCCGTCGAGAAGGACAAGTGAAGCTGCTGCGAGGGCCCCGCGGGCGCCCGGGAACAACGCCAGAATCTCTCCAAGGGCCTTCGTTCCCAGAGCACCACCCACACTTTCATCCTCTTGGAGCAGTGCCCTCCTCCTCCTCCTCCTCCTCCTGCTTCCTCCTCCTTCCTCCTCCTCCTCCTCCTCCTTCTCCTCCTCGTCCTCCATCTCAGTCTGTTCCTCCTCCTCCTCCTCCTCCTCCTTCTCGCCGCTCCTGCATCGTCTGCACATAAGAGGTGGCCCTAGGCAAGAGTGACCTTTGCTGCGCGGCCTGCCGATCGCTGCGTGCGGTGGTGAGCGTAGCCGCCTGCGTGCTCGGGTTTGTTGGCTCCCCCGGCGCCCCCCGAAAGCCGCGCGACAAAGGTCGCTCCGGCGAAGGGTCACTCTTACGCGTGGCTGACTGCAGGCGGCAAGCACTGTCCGCGGCGGCGCTGGCGTGACATGCCCGGAGGGATCTCCAGGGTAGCCAGCCGAGTGGGCCCGAGGGGGGCTGAGGCAGAGGAGCCAGTCTACCATAGTATGTCCCCCCCGTTCTGTCCCGCCCGACTTAGCGCCCCGCGCCGCGCAAAGCGCGGCTGCCTCAGCGCTGCCACGCGGCCCCCCGCCAGCCAGTAGCGCTCTGGCTCAGACCGCGAAGCACGGCTGTCCTCGCCTCCCCGCGGGTGACCCAGCAGAGGGGAGTTTGGCTACCCCTCTCTACCTACAGTCAACGCGCACAAGAAGGATGCACGATAAGGATGCAAGGGCCTTGGAAGGCAATGTCGTCACTTTTCGAGCGGGGTGCGGCAAGCGAAAGTGGCCAAGGATGGGCTGAAGGGGAAGGATGCAAGGGTCACCTTGGAAGGCTGCTCATCCTTCCTGTGCGCTTTGACTGTGCACCCCTCTTCCCGTAGCACCCCACTGCTTCTTCTGCAAGACTGGAACATTGGGGGTCCCGAAACCGTGCGGTGACTGACCGTGCGGCGACCTCGCAGCCACTTCAAGACCTCACCGCACGGTCCGCCGGAGGCCCTGGTCGCCGAGGGGGTGACTGGGCGAACACCTCTCTGGCGCCCTCCAGCCCTGGCCGTCCGCAGTGCGGCGCCTCCCCGCCTCCCCCGAGAACTGCCAGGCAAGCGCGGGCCGCAGGGAACCGAGGGCACCTCTCGGGGCAGCGCGCGCGCGCCCGCCTGCCGCCCACCTCGGCGCGGGAACTGCGCGGGCCACTCGGCCTCGAATGGACCTCCGCCCTCGGCACTGCGGGAGCGTCCAGGAGGGGGCTTCGCGGATCTTGGCCCGAACCACGTGCGCGGGCGAGGGTGTGGCCGCGGGGCGTGTCTAGAGGCCTCCCAGGTGAGGCCCGAACAGATGGTGTCGAAGGATCGCGCCGCATCGCCGATGCATCGGCGGTGCATCGGCGACGTTGGCGATGCATCGGCGTCGCCGGCGTGGAGAACACCGTGATCCACATCGAGCCGCATCGGCGATGCATCGGCGATGCGGCGTGATCCTCCGACCCCATCTGCACAGACCCCCTCTGGAGGCCTAGAGTAGGCGGCGGGCGAAGAGGGGAAATGAGAAGGAGAAGGCCTTCTCACAAGGCGGCGGGACTTCTCAGAAGCCCTCGCGCCTTCCGGGAAGTTTTACTGTGTCTCCGGGGAAGGCTCCGAAAGCCTCTCGAAGGGCCATGGGACTTCCGAGCCTTCCGAGAAGGCCCGCCCCGTCTCACCTCCCTCCCGGGCTCGCCGCCGACAGAGTGCTGAAGGAAGAAGAGCCCCTCTTGGCCGCCCCCGCACCAGAGGCCGTTGGCCTGGGGCCGAGACGGGACGCCTGATCGTGCTCCGCCTTGGGCGCGCGCCAGGGAGTCGCCAGGGCGCCTGGGCGGCACGGGCCGGTCGTGCAGCCATCGTGCTACCAGGCCGCATGCGGCCGGGAACTTTTGCCAGCATCGAGGTGCGAGGTTCAAGGCCTCTTGGCCTTCGGGGCGCCCCCCATCGTCGCCGCAGCCGGGCGCGGCTCGGAAAGCTGGTGCGTTGGGACCCGGGGAGGGGTCCGGGGACCCATTGGGAGCGTATCTTGGCGGGCGCGCTGCGCCCGTGCAGCTCTCCGACGATACGCTCGGGAATCTCTGCCAAGTGTCGCCGCGGCGGCCACGGCGACACGCAGAGCCCTGCGAGCGGGCAGCGCGTCACTCCGCCCCGCGGGGCTGGCGGCCGGGAAGGGCTCGGGGCGTTGACGTTCGAGAGTGGGCGTGTGGATCGCGTGTCGCGCCGAAGCGTGGTGGGCCAGACGGGGCGCGGCGACGCTCGAAGCCGAAGGGGGGCTTTCTCCGGCCACGGCGGGCCTCGGTCACGAAGAGGCTCCACGACACGACTCTGAGAACCGAGGAGGATGAGGAGGAGGAGGAGGAGGAGGAGGAGGAGGAGGAGGAGGAGGAGGAGGAGGAGGAGGAGGAGGAGGAGTTGAGAGTGGAGGAGGGGGAGGAAGAGGAGGAGGAGGGGGAGGAGGAGGAGGAGGAGGAGGAAGACAAGGACGAGGACGAGGCTAGAGTGCCACCACTCGACCCGAAAGCCAGAGCTCCTCCCGAGCCGGGAGCGGTCCTTCTCTCGGCGCCTTGACGTGTGGCGGCGCCGTTCTCGTCACAGCCGGGGGCTGTCGAGGGGGCGGCGCGCGCGCGCGGGCGGGGCGGCGTCCCGAGCAGGGCGTAGCTGAATGGGATGCCGACGCCGAGCTCCTTGAGCTGCTCCTTGGAGGGCGCCTGGCGTCCGGCGCTGGCTGGCAGCGCTTCGACGCCTTCGATGCGGGGAGAGGGGGAAAGCCGGTGGCCAGCCCCCTCCAAATCACACCCCAACAACTCCAAGAACTGGCGCACGACCACGCCGAAGCAGACGGGGGAAAACGAATCCCGCGGGCGCCCACGAACAACGCGACCTTCCCCTCCTCATGCCTCCGATGCGAGTCAGGGTGGTTGAGACTTTCTTGTCGAAAGTTCATGGTGAGACTGATGCTGCATGGCAAAAGCTCAGCCAAAGCCAACAGCGGCGGTTCAGAAATTGAATGTTATCACGTAATTAAAAAGTATATGATGAGGTCGAATGCGCACACCTGTGATGATCCCGTTAGGCGCAAGTCCGAATGATAGATTCCGTTGCACCAGCTGCTGCTCTGCAATCTCTACTACTTCGCGTGGTCGGAGGCCTGCCAAGAAATTTCCAGCTACCCCGTGACTGTGCCGCGAAGCCACGCGCGGGTTCAGACTGTGCGAAACACACGCGGGCCGTTTTCATCGGGGCAAACTATGCAAACCCGCGTCACGACATCGTCGTGACCGCGAACGCTACGATTCTCAGTGTGATATGCGCATCTGACGCTACGCATAGCTCAAATGATGTGTTGAAGTGTAGAGACAGTGGACCACGGCAAGCGCTGCGCTTCGAGATGAATTGGTGGGGGGAGACGTCTACTTTACACGTCGCCCGTCCATTCTTGGATTGGATGGAAGCCAGGTCAAGATGTTTAAACGATGAACATGATCAGCCATTTAAGCGCTTCTCTTCTTGTCTCTCCTCCTCCTCCTCCTCCTCCTCCTCCTCCTACCTTCTTCTTTCCTTCTCCTGGGAAGGGGGAGGAAATGGATGAAGAGGAGGGGATTCAGATGGGGGGGGGGGGCGGACAAAGAGGGCGAGGGGGAGCAAGGGGATCATGATGTTGATGATGATTTACCCTGCTTCTTTACCGTCGAGAACGGTGAAATGAAACGATGCACTGAGGCAATCGAATCCAACGCGTTGCAATCGGAACTGAACTCGTAGCTCGTAGCTTTGCGGCCCAGCCCAGCCCCACACCCGCCATGTGAGATGACGCGCGGATCTCAGATTCACATGGGAGGCCAACGCGCCTGCCGATGACGGCGAGAGGGGAGAGGGGGGGGGCGAGGAGCCAGCGGAGGAGCCAGACCCCGCAGCGGAGCAGGCGAGGTTGGAGAGGCGCCGCCTTCGCGGCTTGCGTTTTGCGGGGGCGGTGCGGGAACGGGGGAGGGAGAGCGAGCGTGAGCAAGAGAGGGAGCGGCTCGAACGAAGCCGCCTCAGACGTTTGCGTTTTGCAGATTTTGTGATGGAGAGGGATCGGGTGGATTGCCAGCGAGAGCGTGCCAGAAGGAGGCAGGAGAAGCCGCATTAGCCGCCAGTGATTGCAACACCATCTGCCCATCGTGATTTCATCCTTTCTGCAATTTGTTATCCCTCCCTGTGTATCTATCCACCCACCTCCTCATCCTCCTCATCCCCAATATCATTTTGCATCCCTGCCGCTAGAATTTCCTGGGGGGATGGAGCGGTGGAGTGACGGAGGGTCTCGATATGTGGTGTGCGAGCGTGCTGGCGTGGGCGGAGGAGTTGGAGGACCTTGCCCCTTTTCAAAGCCCCTCCTAGCCAGCCACACAGCAGCGCGGCGAGCAAGCCAATAGCCTGCAACCCGCGGCTGAAGTAAGAGGGGTGCCCAGGGATACTTGGAGGTGTTATTTATGGAGGGTCATGTTGTTATGGGCACTCCTTCCCCTCCCCTCCTGCACATTGGCTTGCCCACTAGTGTGGGGCAAACAAGCGTTGGGTCGGGCATACCGCTCTCTATCTCCTGTCCCTTATCTTTCCTCACTTCCTCGTTCTTTCCGTGGCACCTTGAGCGCGTGCGGTTTATTTGTCTCTCTCGTAGATACTTATAAATGCAGTCTGTTCGGTGACCTCGGCTTGCAGTGGTTGTGGTTGTTGTGGTTGTTGCTGTTGCTGTTGCTGCTGCTGCTGTTGTTGTTGTTGTTGTTGTTGTTGTTGTTGTTATTATTGTTATTGCTGTTGTTGTTGTTGTCATGGCTGTGGTTGTGGTTGTTGTTGTTGTTGTTGTTGTTGTTGGTTGAACTCTCACTATAGAAGAATAATTACTGTTGGCCCCCCTTCTCCGGTGCATATGGTATTTCTTCAATTGAAGTGCCCCTCCCGGCGCTCGCACCCTGTTTTCACCAGGGAGAATCATCCTCCTCAAACTGTGTCCCTGGCCCCCGGTTTACAAGAACAACGGCTCCCGCTGGATACTTCCTCGAAATTTACTCCGGTCCCCCGCTCCCGCCTGAGACGTCCTCGTAATTTACTCAGGCGCCGCGCTCTTGCCATTCAGGAATCGCGCGTTCGCTGGGCACTTCCCCAAATTTACTTAGGAATCGCTCTCTCGCTGGAAACTTCCTGGCTAATCACGCAGAACTCACGATCGATCCGCCCGCTCGGCCCGCCCGTCAGGGTCATGCCCTTCGTGGCCCATGCTCGCTCGTGCCCTTTGTGCCTCATTGCTGCCCTTTGTGGCCCCTCCCCTTGTGGCCCAGTCGCTGCCCTTCGTGGCCCCGATGCTGCCCTCAGTGGCCCCTCGCTTCCCTTTGTGGAACATGTATACGCCCTTCGTGGCCCCCAGTCGCTCGTGCCCTCAGTGGCCCCATTGCTGCCCTTCGTGGCCCCGCTGCTGCCCTCAGTGGTCCCCTCGCTGCCCTTTGTGGCCCATATGTATATATATATATATATATATATATGCCCTTCGTGGCCCCCAGTCGCTTGTGCCCTCAGTGGCCCCATTGGTGCCTCTCGTGGTCCCAGTGTAGCCCCGTGTGCCTCCCCCCCGTTGCCCTCAGTGGCCCCTCTCGCTGCCCTTTGTGGCCCATCTATTCGCCCTTCGTGGCCCCCAGTCGCTCGTGCCCTCAGTGGCCCCATTGCTGACCTTCGTTGCCCTGGCGTAGGCCCTTTGTGGCCCATATATGCGCCCGTCGTGCCCCCCAGTCGCTTGCGCCCTCAGTGGCCCCATTGCTGCCCTTCGTGGCCCCGCTCGTGCCCTCAGTGGCACCCTCTCGCTGCCCCGTGGCCCATATGTACGCCCTTCGTGGCCCCCAGTCGCTCGTGCCCGCAATGGCCCCATTGCTCTCCTTCGTGGCCCCAGTGTAGCCCCGTGTGCCCCCCCCCCCGCTGCCCTCATTGGCCCCCTGTCGTTGCCCTTTGTGGCCCATCTGTTCGCCCTTCGTGGCCCCCAGTCGCTCGTGCCCTCAGTGGCCCCATTGCTGCCCTTCGTGGCCCCAGCGTAGCTCCTTGTGCCCCCCCCCGCTGCCCATTGTGGCCCCGCTGCTGCCCTCAGTGGCCCAGACGCTGCCCTTCGTGGCCCCCCGTCGCTTGCGCCCTCAGTGGCCTTGTTGCTGCCCTTCGTGGCCCAAGCGTAGCTCCTCGTGGCCCCCTTGCTGCCCTTTGTGGCCCCGTCAGTGCCCTCAGTGGCCCCATGGCTGCCCTTCGTGGTCCTGCTGCTGCCCTCAGTGGCCCACATTGCTGCCCATTGTGGCCACATTGCTGCCCTTGGTGGCCCATGTAAAACGCCCTTCGTGGCCCCCGCTCGCTCGTGCCCTCAGTGGCCCCATTGCTGCCCTTCGTGGCCCCGCTGCTGCCCTTCAGTGGCCCCATTGCTGCTTCTCTCGTCCGCAATTCTACTCCCTCTCTGTTGGCCCTTGCATCCCTCCCTTCCGGGGCTGCGCCCAATACTCGTGGCAGGTCCGGAAGATGTACCCCCCAGAAGGGGTACGATCGAAAACGAAGAGGGCGGGTATCGGGGGTTTGGGGTATACGTGGCGAGGGACGCGAGCAGATAAGAGCGAGCAGATAAGAGCGATAAGAGCAGATAAGATCCGGTTGTTTTGTTGTAATCCGCTTTCCCTTGCAAGAAACAATAGAAAATGACATTTCTTGTTCTAATATAATCAAATTTCAAGAATCCCTTGCAAAAAATAAAGTAAAGTGGACATTCGCGCGCGCAAGACGAAATCCTTCCAAAACCTTAGTGTTCGCAGCGATTTTAACATAAAAACATCAAAAAACCAATGGTTTTTCAACAAAAAATTGTCAAAATCTCATCCCGCGCGCTCTTGCGGATTCGTAGGAAACCCAACACTTTTTAAACATTTCTGTCAAACGGGCTTTTGCGAGCAACTTTTTCGAACTTCTGCGACAACGGTTGCGCACCTGCCAGGGCCATCATCCCTGTCAAATAATACCATGCGGGACACATTCGTTTTTTCTTCGCGCGCGCACGCCGTCGTCGTCGGCCGCGGGGCCCTGAATAGTAGCCACGGTCGTCCGCATGCCACGAAGTGAAGTGTCCGAACGTCATAGGGCGGGAAGCTGGGTGTGGGTGGTGGCGAAGAGTCGTTTGGAAATTTGGTAGAGCTTGAACCGGCCCCCCCACAAAGTGGGGGTATTGCCCGCCTCCTATGAAAACCCTGGCACTGGTGAGAACGGAGTGTCCCCACGTGCTAGTAATTGCTGTTGTTGTTGTTGTTGTAGTTGCTGTTGTCGTTGTTTAGGGGGGGGGGGAAGGGATGGAAAGTGGTGCGAGGAGGGAGGGAGCAAGGCAGAAGAGGGGGGACCAGAAAAAGATGAAGAGGGAAGGGGGAGGAGGAGGGGAGCGGAGGAGTCACTATGAAGAGAAAGGGGGGGAGGAGGATGAGGAGGATGAGAAGGATGATGGCGATGATGGGATGAAGAAGATGGAGAAGAGGAGGAATCGGTGGACATCTCGTACCATGACACCCAATCATAATTATACGTAATGGCGATGACGATGACGCTGCTGCTGTTGCTGCTGCTGATAATCATGAGGATGATGATGCTGCTGATGGTGATGATGAGGGTGAATATGATGATGATGATGGTGGTGGTGATGATGGTGATGATGGTGATGATGGTGATGATGGTGATGATGATGATGATGATGATGATGATGATGATGAGATGAAGGTGATGATATCACGGGGGAGTGCAATGCCGATGTTGATGAGGATGCTTAGGAATTGTATCATATTATCACCGTGGTATTGCACGAGAGAAGAATGATGGCACATATAAGTCACGATGCGGCGGATGACGATGATGATGACGACGAGGATGCTCAATAAGAGGAAGGGGGAAGAAGAGAAGGGAGGTGGACGGCTGAAGGAATAAAGGAGGACAACATTGAGGAACACAGGATCAAATGGAAAGCAGTAGTCGGACAGTCCGCCGTCTCGGGCCTTTTTCGGGGCTGCGGGGCACACCGCGCGACTCCACGTCGAAGCCCCAGCGCCGGCAGCGGGTGGCCGAAGAGAGGCCCGCTCCTCCGCCTCCTCCGCCTCCTGCCCCACTTCCTCCTCCTCCTCCTTCTCCTCCTCTTCTTCTTCCTCTTCTTCTTCCTCCTCCTCCTCGTCCCCTCCAATCCCCCCTCCCTCTGTGCACCGTCCCCCATCCTTCGTCCTCCCTCCTCTCTCCCCGTTCCTCCGTTTTGCCGTCTTCCGTCCTCCCACCTCCGTTGACCCTTCTACCCCCTCGCTCCTCCCTCCATCTTCCCTCCTCCAACCTCCGCTTCTCCTCAGCGTTGTCGTCGTCTTCGCCCCCCTCCTCCCCATCCCCCCTCCAACGCCGTCTCGGAATCCCGTGCTAGCCGCCCACCCACCTCCCCACCATTGAGGGGAGGAGGAGGAGGAGGAGGAGGAGGAGGAGGAGGAGGAGGAGGAGGAGGAGGAGGAGGAGGAGGAGGAGGAGGAGGAGGAAGAGGAAGAGGAGGATGAGGAGGAGGAGGCGAAGTTCCCGTGGGCGGGACGGGGCGGGCACACCGAAGGGCACAGTGGGCCTCTCAGGCACCGAAGGTGGGCACCGTAGGCCTAGCGCAACCAACGGAGAGGCGCACCATCTGTCCTCCACCCTACAGTCGGGGCGTTGACCTAAGGAACCTTACATAAGGAACGAAGCCCCTTTTTTCCATAAGTGCTTCGATTTCCGAGCGAAAACATAAGGAAAACCTGAAGCAAACTGTGAAACACTTAAGGAACACGGAGCCCCTCCCCAACCAAAAGGGTTCCTTCTTCAGGGCCCCGACTGTACATGGCTGCATTCAGCATTCGTTGAACTTTTTGACTTGGTATGTCAACCTCCCTCCACCTCCGCACTGCGAAGGCCATTGCCTGCGCAGCGACCTCAAAGGCGGTCCCAGCCTTCGTCTTCCCTCCGCCCACGGCGCCTGCTGCATCTCGCCGCGCAGCCCTCGAAATGAAACACCTTGGAGCTCACCCTCGCCTACCATCTCCAAATCTTCGACCACCTAGACCAATGGCACCTCCCTCAACCTGACCTTCGAGGCCTGCACCCCCCTGAAATCGCTGTACCTGGGAATTGCAATAGTCGCGGGATGCCGGTTTATACCTACCTCCTATAGCTCACTTTCAGGGGGCAACGCTTGACCATCTGCCTCCTGGTTCGCTCCGTCCTGGCCATGGCGAGCCGCAAACTGGGCAGGTAACAACTGAACTGTTTCATGATATTCCAGCCGGTGCGCTTTTTCGTCCTGGAGCATGTTCTGATGCTGCGCTCCACAACCCGCCTGTGTACATCAGGCGCAACGTCTTCATCAACTTCCGCGTGCACACCTCCCTCAAACTGTTCGTGGTCTTGATCTCTTGCGTGCTGCTGATGGGCGCGCGGCCATTTCTGGTGCTGCCGGGGGCGCTGCTGCCGAGGGCGCCACGGCTGGCGCTCCCTCCACGCTCGCATACGGCTGGGCATATCACTGGGGGCACCGTTTGCGAGGTGCGCCTGGTGGCACAGAGGCCCTCGGCCTGCACGGACCACGCCCCTGTCGTGAGGCACTCGCGCCCACGGCCTCTCCCCCTGCCGGCCCAGCTCAGGATACCACACCTCTCGGACAGCTGACGAGGGTCCCGAACCAGGACTCGGCCCACACGGACTTCAGTGCACGCTGTGCGCACTCCAGCGCGAGCCCCAGGTCGTGGACCCCGCCCTCCTGGGAATCCAAACCGCGCTTGACTCGGCTGCCCGCGTCTTCGTACCAGGGCAGCCGTGCGCCACGCCCCGCCAGCCCCTCCAACACTGCGCGGGCCTCCTGCGGGGGAGGGCCCACCGAGAAGGCAGCGGGATGGCGCCTCCTGGAGCCAGGGCAAGAACCTCCCAGATTTCGGACCCGGGCTCGCCCCGAGGCCTGGCGACGGCCGACCGACCCAAGACTTGGAGTCGGCCGGGTGGTCTGACAGGTTGGAACTCAGGAAGTCGGTCAGGAGGGGGATGAAGTCCAAAAAGTCCAAATCCGCTCAAAGTCGGTGCCCAGACCCCTCCTGGGGTCCACCTGGTGTAATTTTTCACCTTAAGATGTGTTTTCGTTGGTCCAGGTCCCGAAAACGAGCCAAGGAGGCGGAAAAGGGCAAGACATCTTCCCGAACCCAGAACCTCGAACCTGCCGCTCCTTCGTGCTCGCCGGCACCAATGATGGGCCACCTCACGCCCCCCCGCCAGCTCCAGGCCCCGAGTCCCTCTCGGTGGTGCCGCCGCGACAGCGACCGCGACACGTCGCGCTGCCCCGAGCGCGGCTCTGGCTGCGGCCAACCGTGCCGCCTTGTGCGAAACTGCGGCCTGGGGCTGCACCTCCGCCACACCTCGCCACAGACCACCGGCCGGCGCCGCGTGCCCAGTGGCCTCCCGTGTGCCCCGCGACGGCGCCCAAGCCCGTGGGCCGCCGTCGCTGCCCGCTCTCGCCCCGTGCGCCGACGCTGCGGCGGGCGGTCGCCGTGGGGGCGGCTCCCTCCTGCCTGCGTCCGCCGCCTCCTCCTCTTGGGTCGGCAGGGGACGCCGCTGGAGGCCTCCCACGGGAGCGACGGAGCGACGACCACAAACGGGTCTTACGCGAGATGACGCAGCGGCCTTACGCGGTGGCTTACGCGGGCCGCCGGCGCGGCACGCCGCACGGGAGACGAGGGCGCCTACGCGCGACCTTACGCGCCAATCTCGGCGCAGTCGAGACCGTTTTCTGCGTCGCTCAAATGGGGTCCGAGAAGACGGGGTCGAAGGATCACGCTGCATCGCCGATGCATCGGCGACGTCGGCGCGGAGATCGGGCTCCACATTGAGCCGCATCGCCGATGCATCGGCGATGCGGAGCGATCCTCCGACCCCATCTGCTCTGACCCCTTGCGGGAGACCTGAACTCGCCCCCTCCGGCCGCCTTCGGTCGGGGACTTCTGCCGCAGCTGCAGCCGCAGCCGCAGCCGCAGCGGGGTACAGCCGCAGCCACAGCCGCAGCGAGCCCGGAGTCTTCATCCCGGGCCGCAGCCGCGGCAAGCAGCCGCCGCAGCCGCGGCACGCAGCCGCAGCCCTGGACTTCTGCTCAGCGCTTCGCGTCGACGGCCCCAGCGACACGCCGTGCCCTGCAGGCGGATGGCGTCGCGCTGCGCTCCGCGGGGCGGGCGCCCGGGGCCCAGGACGTGGCCAGCGTGTCGCGGCAAGGCGTGGTGGGCCGGAGCCAGCGGGGCGGCACGCGAAGCCCAAGTTCCTGAGCGTGGACACCCCTCCGTGCGGGGTGGCGCGTCCTCGCCGTCGTGCGCCCACCCAGCAGCACGCTGCCTCTCGGAGCCCCGTGCTGTCGTGCTTGCCACGGGAACGCCCTTCTGCCGAGCGCACCCCACGTGCTTTGCCGCGGTCACGCGCACCCTGGTGCTGGCAGCGCGCCGAGCGGATGGCCTGCTCGCGACCGGGACGGAGCCCACCTTGTCAATTCCGGGTCGGTGATCCGCACGCCGCAAGGGCCCGCTTGGGCTGGTGTGCTCAAGGTGCCCTGACGCTCGCTACCTACCGCGCGCCGCCTCTCTCCCTCCTCCCTCCTCCTCCCTCTTCGGCCCTCCCTGCTCTCTCCTCCATTCTCCCCAGGACGTTACGTTGTTGCTGGTGCTGCTTCCCCTTCTCTTGCGCTCCCTCCGACCCCCCTAGCATCACCACGTCACGGTGGAAATTCAGGAAATCCGACGATTCCAATAATGGAGAGAGCGTGATCCACCGCCGCTTTACTGTGGAAAATTGCCAACCTTTTCCTCCGGAGCCCGGGGGTCGCCCCCCCCCCCCCCCTCCGAAAATCCCCCCCCCCCCCCCCTGCTGGAACCCCCCCCCCCCCCCCCCCCTCCCCGGCAAAAACCCCCCCCTCCCCCCTAACCCCTCCCCCCCCCCCCCCCCCCTCCCGCTCAAAAAACGGGGGGTCACTAACGGTTCGAACCCCTCCCCCCCCCCCCCCCCTCGGATCCGGAAAAAACGGGGGGGGTCACTACCGGTTCGAACCCCCCCCCCCCCCCCCCCCCCCCCCCCCTACTCACCGCCAGCAAACGACTCCCGGTCCCCACCACCGTCCGCATCACATCCCCCACTGGTGTTCCCAGCACCACTGTCCTCACCACCGCTGTCCCCACTGGTTCCACCACCGCCCCTACTGTCCCCACCAGTGGCCCCACCACTGTCGCACTGTCCCCGCTGTCCCCAGAACTGTTCCCACCACGGTTCCACTCTCCCCACTGTCTCCACGGCCCCAACCACTGCCCGACTATCCCTACTGTCCCCACTGTCCCACTGACTCCTCCGCTGTCCCACTGAGCTGTCCCACTGTTCCCACCACTGTCCCCACTGTCCCCACCACTGTCCCCACTGTACCTCTGTCCCATTGTCCCACCGCCGTCCTCGCCACCGCCTTCACCACTGTCCCCACCACCATTGTACCCTCCACTGTCCCACTGTTTCCACCTCATTCCCATTGTCCCCACACCACTGTCCCCACCACCACCGTCACCACCACTGTCCACTGTCCCCCCCTGTTCCCACCATTGTCCCCACCACTGTCCCCACCACTACCGTCCCCACCACTGTCCCACTGTCCCACTGTCTGCACCACTGTCCCGCTATCCCCTCACCACTGTCCCCACCAACACCGTCCCCACCACTGTCCGCACCCCCACTCGGTTTTCGAGGGGGGGGGGGTTCGAACCGGCAGTGACCCCCCCCGGTTTTCCGGATCCGGAGGGGGGGGGGGGGGGGAGGGGTTCGAACCGGTAGTGACCCCCCCCCCTTTTCATGATGAGCAGGGGGGGGGGGGGGGGGGGGGGGAGGGGTTCGAACCGGTAGTGACCCCCCCGGTTTTCCGGAGGGGGGGGGGGGGGGGGGGGAGGGGTTCGAACCGGTAGTGACCCCCCCCGGTTTTCCGCCAGCAGCGGTAGAACACGCTCTTTCCAATAATGTAGTGGCCCCCACACCAAAATCGGTGAAACAAACTTGCAGAATGACCTCGCGGAACTTCCCCCCAAGACACTTGTCTTCCTCCCCCTCCTCCTTCTCCTCCTCCTCCTTCTCCTCCCGTCTTCTCCCCCTTCCCCGCCGCTGCGTCCTTCTCCACCTCCATCTACTCTCCCCCATAAGGCCTTGTAGAATTCCCAACACTCCTTGGAACCTCCTTGAACATCCTCCCTCCTCCCTCGCCCTCCTTCTCTCAACTTCCCTCCCGAAACCTCAGAATCCCCCGGACGATACATTAACGCGCGGCAACCTCCGACATTGCCTTCCTCCATAAACACCCTAGAACATATGACATCCTCCTGCCTCCTTCCCTCCTGCGCCTCTCTCAGTGCTCTCCTTCTCGGCCTCTGCCTCTACCTCCTGCTGCTCATCTTCCCCTTGCCCCTCCGCCTCCTGCTGCTCCTCGCCCTCGATTCCCCTCCCTCCTCTGCACGAAGGCGACGACGGCGATGACGACAGCGACGACGACTGCGACGGCGCCGACGACGACGACGACGACGGCGATGACGACGACGGCATCATCACCCTTTCCGCCCCCCGAGTGCCGCCGAGGCATGGTGGCGAACGCGACGACGACCGCGGCCGAACCGGCGACTGCGGCGACGGCGGAAAGGTGCCCCCGGCGCTTCGCCGCCCGAGGCACGGCCATCGCCGGCCGGTCAGTAGTGGTTCTCGCGGACCTAGGGCTTGTGGGGGGGAGGCCAGCACCGCCGCCGCCGTCGCCGGCGCCCTTCCTTGCCGTCCGAACGGGTGGGACGTGGCTCCCCCATGGCAACTTTTCTGCTGTCCCTCCCCTGCTCAGCTCGCCGCCGCCGCCCTTCTCCCCGTCGCCCGCTTCCTGTGTCGATTCGCCTCTTCGTGTCCCGCTCAGGCTCCGACCGCGCCGTGCGTGCGCCACCAGCGCCGCGACAACACAAGGTTGAGCTTGCCGCAGCAATTGGTCGGCTGCGCGCTGCCTCCCTCCCTCCCTCCCTCCCTCCTGGTGCCTTTCCAGCGCAGGTCACGCATGCTCTCGGCTGCAGAGCATGCAGAAGGCAACAGCTGCGAGAGGTAGAAGGTCGGGCACGAGACATGCAGAGGGCGAAGGACATGCAAGCCGCGTACAAATGCCCTCTCCTCTCCCTCCTCTTCTCTTTCCCATCCTCCCTCTTTCCTCCCTCTCTCCCTCCCTCCCTCCCTCCCTCCCTCCCTCCCCTCCTCCTCCTCCTCCTCCTCCTGCTATTTCCCCCTCCGCCCCCCGCCCCCCCGCTCCCCCCCATCGAGCGACCTCATGCGCGGAGGGGGGAGGCGGAGGAAGAGGACCAGAGTAAACCCAGGAAGCATCACAGCGATGCTGCAACCATTCCTCAGAAGCCGAAAAAGCTTTCCTTTTCGCTGCAAGAAGCGCCCCTTTGAAAGACGAACGCCCTGTGTGTCGGGCGAGAGCGCGGCTTCGAAATGAAACTGCCTTGCATCATTCTTACAAAATTTGTCAAGTTCGTACAACCAATACACTGTAATTTAGCGATGTGTCCAGAGAGAAAGAGAGAGAGAGAGAGAGAGAGAGAACGAGAGAGCGAGAAAGAGAGAGAACGAGAGAGAGAGAGAGAACCCCGTTTTGACGAGGACTGACCCACATCCGTGCGACTGATACGATGATACATTGCAAATGGCTAAATCTGTGGATCTCTCAGACGAGAGCTTCAAGGAGAACCGCCCTCTACCCGTGCAATTGTTACACAGTTCTCCTAATAACAAATGGTCTGTAACATTCCGACGCATCTCTTCTAAGAAACTGCGTGCAAAGGTCCCGTAACTCGCAATCGGTGGGGCACTTTTGTGTCCCGTTGTCTGTCGTTGTCTCCCGTTGTCTCCAATTGTCTCCCGTTGTCTTCTATTGTCTGTCCGTATCCCACTCCTTACGCCTCTATGCCCATCTATATCTTTTCTGCCCGAACCTTTCTGTACACATCTCAATGCAAATCCCTATCGTTATCCCTATATCCCTAGCGCTGTCTCCCGTTGTATCCACTTGTCTTCGGCTCTCTCCCTATCCCTATGCCTGTCCCTATGCCTCTACCTCCATCCCTATCCTCTCGATCTTATCCTCTATCCCAATCCCCTGTCCCGATGCCTAATCCTCATCCCTATATCCCCACATCCCTGACGTAGGAATTTCGGTTGTCTCCTGTTGTTTCTAAATGTATTCCGTTGTTTCCTTTTCTCTTCCATTGTCTCCCGTTGTATCTCGTTGTCCCCCGTTCTCTCCCCTTGTTTCCCATTGTTTGCCATTGCCTCCCGCTCTCTCTCGTTGTCTCCAGTTATCTCCATTCTCACTCTAGGTGTCTCCATCTAGGCCCCTTTCTCCAGCACTGTATGAAGCTGCTTAAGGTCTCTTGGTGCAACAGTGTGTTTCAATCTTCTGGCTTTCAAATTTAAGGCAGCCTCAAACGAGAGCCACAGTTTGAACAGACGCCGCCCTCCATCATTGCAGCGGTTGCAAGGATTTGAAACGAATGTGTGCGGCGCTGAAGCGATAGTCCAAGTTTGAAAAATAGCCACCCTCTATCCATGTAACTGGCATCAACTTTTACGACGAATGTGCGCGGCGCTAGGTCAATCACCCCATTTGGGGAAAAACGAATCGCCCTCCATCCGTGTAGCTGTTGCAAGCTTTTAGGACACATGTGCGTGGCGCTAAGGCGGGACCTCCCTTCTGAAAAGAAGCCGCCCTCCATCCGTGTGTTGCGAACTTTTTAGCCGAATGTGCGCGGCGCTTAAGCGAGAACGCCATTTTGAAAAACACCCACGGCCCCGTTCATCGCTCTAAATGTTGCAGGCTTTGAAAACTAATGTCCGCGATGCTAGGGCAAGAATCTCGTCTCGCTTTGACCCCCCTGCAACGGGTGTGGTTCTAGCAAGCTTTCAACAAGAAAATGCGTGGCGCTAAATCGAACACAACACTTGGAAAGGAATCACCATCAAGTCTTGTAGTGCGAATTGTAGTGTCCTCAGGTCGCTTGGAGTTCTTCGTCCTCCGTCCTGGGCGGATGCATGTTTGGGGGCACGATCTTGAATGCACGGGTCTCATGGGGCCCTGAGAGGCTTCCAAAAGGGCCCCAAGACGGCGCAAGAAGGCTCCAAGACGGACCAAGAGGCGCCCAAGACGGCCCCAAGAGGGGCTCAAGAGAAGGACACGGAACCGACAATTCGAGCCTTCCGCTTCAAGAGGGACCCGCTCGCCCGCTCAAGGGAGATCAAAGTCTTTGGCTCTACAAGCTCCAGCCTCTGGGGGCCGTTCTCGGGCACCCGGTGAAGCAACTACGGCAGGTTCGTTTCGTGTCGACCTGGGCGTTGGTTCCTGACACCGTCGGGATCGTTCAACCTTGAACGATCGGCCGTTTTCTCAACGTCCGATCGTTCAACATTGACCGATTCTGGGCCGCCGCCGGCGTTCAACGTTGAACGCCGTCGGCGGGGTCACCGCCGGTCGACACGACACGAGCCTGCCGTACGTGGGACGACCAATCGGCTCACGGGACGAAGCCAGGGAGGAGGTGTGGGCAGGGGAGTGAGCAACGCTTCTGCCTCAGGTTCGAAACGCTGCCAGTCCCCGAGATCCAGCGCCCTGGAACAAAAAAACACCGCCCAACTTCGTGCCTGGAGCTCCCGACCCCACCTTTCCACGAGGATTGACAACAACCCCTTTGCCAAAACGCCCCTTCAGTGAAAGCTGCTGGAGGCACTCCACGGGTGCGTGGAGCACCGCGTGCGAAGCGCACCCGGGTGCAATGGCTCATCGACGTCCGACGTCTACGAACGTGTCCGGCGACCTCACAAGTGGACGCGACACCGACGGGGGACTGCACCGGTGCGCTGCGCCTGCCAATGTCGAGCGAGCCCGTGCAGACCTCCTCAATCGACTCGTCTTGGCCGGCGTTCCCTCCGTGCCCGGCCTCCCCCTCGTTGATGGCATCGCGCCCGCCCGCGAGGGCCCCGGGGCCCGAGCGGCGGCAGCAAGTCCCGAGCCGCACGTGGTCCCCAGACCCCCGATGCCACGATTGCTGCGTGCCGTGGACCCCCAGACGTCTCTGTCCATGCTCCGGGACCGGCTCCGTGCTCCGGGATGCCACGTCTCTGTCCATGCTCCAAACGTCTCTGTCCATGCTCCATGCTCCGGGATGCCACGTCTCTGTCCATGCTCCGGGACCGGCTCTCCATCCTGAGTCGTTGTTGACGGCCCCGAGGCCTTTGCAAGGGCCCCCAAAGGTCGAAGACAGCGAAACAGCTCCCGTCATGATTTTTGCTCATGTCTCAAGGGGTCTGGCTCCTGTCACGAAGTCCAGGGATGAGGGGGTCGGCGCGATAAGCCGCGGACCAGATCCGCGAAAGCTGCTGCCATAAGGAACGCTAAATAAGGAACAAAACCCATTTCTAGCACCAGAAGCACCTGGGTGCACGAGGAGGGCCAGAGGGAGAACCACGGAATGGCCCAAGGAACACCAAGCCCCTTCCGAACCCAACGCGGTCCTTATTTCAGCGTCTTGGCTGCAAAGGGGGTCGGCGCGACAAGCTTTTCCAGTGGCTCTCGCTGCAATCTTCAATCTCCCAATCTCTGACCGAAGGACTTGCTGAAAGGAGCATGAACTTGTGTGATCCTGGTCCACCCCGCCTCGTCGCTGGGCGCAAGTTTCGGTGGTCAGTGAGAAGTCATCTCATAACCCCACGGCCAAGGAAACTCTGCCCTTAACCGAACCGACGATACGAGCCTTCCGCCCCCAAGCTGTCCCCAGCAGGCCCCAAGAGGCCCCAAGAAGCCCCAAGGGGCCTCCCGAACGCCCCAGGAGGCCCCCAAAACGGCTTCCAAGAGAGCTCAAAACTGCCCCCCAGAGGCTCCCCTGAGGCCTCCCTCGGCATCCCAACGAACATTCAAGAGGCCTCTGACCCACAACTAGGACACGGTGACACTCAGGGGGTCGGCGGATGTGGCGTAATATTATCGAATATTTCAAACCCGCGGCCAGGGCCGGCCACCCCTTGACAACTGCTTCCCTTGCTGCGAATGAATCTACGCAGGGCTGCAACAACTGCCGTGGGGCTCCCGTGCACCAAGTGCCACACCCCATACGCACCCCAATAGGCAAAGACGTCTTGACAAGCGCGATTCGGGGATGGACGGACCTCCCTTTAGTAAAACGTGGTTCAGTGGAAACGACCTCGGGCCCAAACCTGGCGGGCGCAAGCCTGGAAAATGACGGCCGCGGCGCCCTCTCGAGAACCGAAAACGGACAACTCACTAATCGACGTGTCACTGTTGGGGGCTCTGTCCACCCCCGAGCGATAGGCTGCGGACCAAATCCGCGTACTCGTTCTCGCGGGGCCTCTTGGGCGCCTCCGGCTTCTTCGGGGCGACCCTCGGCGGGCCGCGATGGCGGCAGCGCTGGCGTCGGGGGGGAGCCGCGCCGGGGGCCTGCGAGCGGCTCGCCCTCGACGGGGGGATGCGCAGGGGGACGAGGAGAGGGAGGGCGGGGGCTGGGGGGACGAGGAGGAGGAGGAAAACGAGGTGGAGGGGAACGAGGGAGAGGAGGGCGATGAGGAGGAGGAGAGGGAGGAGGAGGAGGAGGAGGAGGAGGAGGAGGGAGTCGGAGGGAGGAGGGAGGAGGACGAGGAGGAGGAGGAGGACGAGGAGGAGGAGAATGAGGAGGATGATGAGGAGGAGGAGGAGGAGGAGGAGGAGGAGGAGGAGGAGGAGGAGGAGGAGGAGGAGGAGGAGGAGCCTCTCCTCCGCCACCCGCTGCTTGCGCCAGGGTTGGAGGAGGAGAACGAGAACAATGATGACGGTAGGTCCTACCGTCACCATCATTCTCGTTCTCCTCCTCCAAGGAGGCCATTTCCAGACTATTTTTTGGGTATTTTGAAAGTGCCTTGGAAATTCGCCACCGACTATTTTTTGACTATTTTGAAATATTCTTTCTGTAGAGGGACGCGCCCGACTTCACGGTAGGAGGAGAGAGAGATGAGGAGAGGAGGGAGCAACGAAACGATGAGGAAACAAAGACGAGGATGAAAAAGGTGAAGAGAAGGAAGATGACGAGGGGGGACCCGCGCGAACAATATTAGCCCTGCGCCATTCAAAACACCAATGTTTTCACTGAGGGGATCTTACTTTCGTCGTCAGGAATTGGGTTGGGCATTTTACACTTTCGCCCACATGGCCGCCTTGTGGTGGCTTGGGGTTCCGGATTTTCGCCTAATGGGCGCCCATGGGCCGCCTCGTGCGCGTCTCGAAAACTGGCTGGGAGTTCTGGGTTTTTACTTGGTGGACGCCCGTGGGCGCCTGTTGCGCTGGCCGGCACATCGATAGGTGATGCATATTGTGCCGCATATCTAGCACCACGCAGATATTACATCGCATATGTTGAACCATATAGTTTGTAACACGTAGCTTGCACCATCGTGCAACGATCACTGTTTCGGAATCCGTGCTGGCAAGCATCTTGATACATGGGCAAAGCAGCTTCGGCAAAACAAGAATCAGCGTCCGAACCAAAGAAGTACAACTGCGAAACATAGCTGCCTGCTCCCACGAGCATCTTCATCGTATGATCTGCACCGCCGCGTCCTTTGCAGCCTGAACTTCCTCGAACAATGCTTGCGCCAAATGGCTTGGGCCGTAAAACGCCAGCCCCCTTCGGGGCGCAATGCTGTGGCTCGTGCTCACGGAACGCTTTATTACTTTCTGTGCGTCGTCTGTTACTTGAGCCTAAGGCCCGACCTGCCTAGAAGTGCCACCTGCGGGGGTGTCCTGGAGCCACGCGGCTGCTCTTGATGGCATCCGACTTCCCCATGTGAACGCCACCAGACGGGCATGTGCGCCCACGAGACCTCCAGGACGGCTGTAAGAGGCCCTGCAGAGCTTCTCAACAGCTCAATACGGCCGAAGATCGCCTCAGGATGCCTCGAAGATGGCCGAGGAGGTGCCTGTCCCTGTGCCTTTTCAGCCCTTCCCTCAACTGTCTGATGCTATCCCCCAGCACCGATGGGGGCAACCTGAGATCTTGGCCCAAAGGGGGGCGGGGCGGGTAGAACTTACACCCCCGAATACGCCCCCGATCAATCCGTGTGCTGGCAACGCCTCGGGAATGCCGGCCCGAGATCAAGAGCGCACCCAGGAGACCGAGCTGAAGATCCTGGGTTCAGCGAGCGAAGAAAGGTATAAAATAATCTTTTTCGCTGTCGGGGGCGCCTGTCCCTGGGCGGCTGGAAAGTTTATACCCCTACGGTGCCACCGTCAGGGTATAAACTTTCCAGCCGCCCTGGGGCAGGTGTCCCCGACGGCGAAAAAAATTATCTTATACTGTTCTTCGCCCGTTAATGGGCGGGTGGGAAGCGCACGTCGCTCTCCCGCGACTCGCCGTGCCCGCAGGCGGGCGGCCGGCCGAGCGGCAGAAGAACGAATCCGCCGTGGGCAACGGACGCCCAGAACGCCACTGTGGCAAGGCGAACATGTCCCGTAGATCCACCGGCAGCGCGGGGGCGTGTAAAACGACGCGAAGATCGGGACAAAATCGGATCGGGATCACTCGAAATCTCTGAGAATCGGCGGGTTTGGAGGATGTATTGGGCGCCGCGGCCGCTCCAGAGCGTTCCGGAACGCTCTGAGAGCGCTCCGGAATGCTCTGGATCGATTTATCCCGATCCTAGCCCTGTTTTAGCGTGACTCCCCGACCAGCGGCCGCGCTGAACGCGCCGATGGCTGCCTGCGCCGGATGCGGCCACTGAGCGGCCCACGCAGCCAAGCCCCGCGAATGGCCAGGCGATCGCACACCGGCAGCGCGGGGGCGTGACTCCCCAGACCAGCAAAGAGGCACTGAACGCGACTGCTGGCTGCCTGCGCCGAGAACGGCCGCTGAGCGGCCCAGGCTGCCCTGACCCCTGAGTGGCCAGGCAGCCGTGCACTGGCAGCGCGGGGGCGCGAGTCCCCGGCCAACATGACACACTGAACGCGACTGCGGGTTGACTGCGCCGAGGACGGCCGCTGAGCGGCCCTGCGCGAGCAAGTCATATGACGACGTTGGGCAGGTGCAGATCCTTGAATTTCCGACTGGCTTTTCGTCCTTCTCCAAGGCGTGCCACTCCCACAGTGTTTCAACATTGTTTCAAGACGGCCCCCGGCGACCCCGAGGTCGGACCAAGGTGCTGCCCAAGCCCGACCCTGGAGGCTTCTAAACTCACTCAACTTGTGGTGTGCAAAGCCCAGATGGCGAGGCGACAGAAGTTTCTGGAGGATCCTTCGAAGGCCTCTGGAAGCTCTGGGAAGGAGCTTCTGGAAAACTTGACGGCACACGTGTTGGGAAACGGTGCGAAAAGGCCTTCCGGGACACGCTGCAAGTTCAGGCTAGGCGCTGCGAGATGCCTGGACGGAAGCTGGAACGAGCTCCAGGGACTACCCTTCTCTGGGTTTCCTCATAAGCGTGGTAAGGTACCGCCGGCGGGTGGGGCCGTGCGGGGCCACTCTGTCAAGGTGCCTGCAGCCAGCCCGCACGAGAAGGCCGCGCGGTGAGGCTGCAGGGGCCCTGGAAGGCCATGTCTTTCAGCTCGCTGAGGGGCAGCGAACGCGATCTGTGTTTCTGGGGCGACGGAGGAGGCAATGCTCGTAGCGTAAGAGCAAGCCTTAGCAGCCCAATCGGTGGTAAGAGCAAACCTAAGGTCCGAACTTGTCGCGAATGGGTGTCGTAAGGACTGTTATTGACGGATCATGCGCGCCGGCTGAGCGTATTGGGATCTGGCCCTGGAAACAACGCTGCCCCCCAAGCGACCTCCAAGGCCATGTCGACACTCTGCGAGCGGGGCGCGGCCAGCGAAAGTGGCCAAGGATGGGCCGAAAAGGAAGGATGCAAGGGCACCCTTGGGAAGGTTGCCCATCCGTGCTATGCGGCTTGACTGTATGGCAGGATTCGCCGAGGCCTGGTCAGAGCCTCGCTGAAGTCCCTCCTGTGGGCCGCTGCACTGTCGGCGGCCCCTCGCGAGCCTCCGTGGGGCAAACGAGCTGAAGGGCCCAAGACGTCCCCCCAAACGGCCTCGGAGGGCCTCAAGACGGCCCACGAGGCCCCCCAAAGGCGCCCAACACGGTCCGACAGGGCCTCGAGATGGTTCCAGACCGCTTCCAGGCAGCTCAAGATGGCTTCAAAACGGTCCGCGAGGCCTTCGGGATGTCCACGAGGCCTCCAAGAGGACTCTCACGAGGGCCTCCAGAAGCCCAAACTATTGATTTTCCACTTGGTTCTGAGCGATTTTAGCATGCGCGCCCTTTCGGGCTTCCGACGCTCCAAAACGGCCCAAGAGGCCTCCCACATCGCATCAAGACAGCCCCGACGGCCCCCGAGGGGCCCAAGACGGTCCAAGAGGCCCCCAGAACGGCCCAAGATGGCCCCAAAATGGCCCAGGAGGGGAAACTCGAAGTGGCATTTCGCGCTCTCCGCCCCACGGTGACACAAGATACCGCCATCAGGCACCCCAAGGGCCCCCCCCAGAAGCCCCTGGAGGCCCTCAACAAAGTCAAATCAGGCTCCAGGCAGCCCCTAAGAGGCGCCGATATGCCTTAAGACATCTCGAACATCGCCACCAGGAGGCTTCTGACAAGCCTTCCAAGCGATCCCCTCAGGTATCCTTGGGGCCTCTGGTTTACAACCTAGGCACAGTGGCAGTATGGGCCGAAGGCCACTAGGTACTCCAGAGAAGCCTTCAGGCCCCCCCCAACAAGGACAGCTGGCATGCGCGCTGCGTCACGGCTCTCGATGCTGCGCGCCACTTTACCAAGCTCCCAAGGAGCGGCCAGTTCTGCCCCGCCAGCATCCTCGCCTCACGTCCAAAAGAGACCCCAAGAGGCCCCCAAACAGTCCCGAAACTGGCTCGAGGAGGCTCCCGAGAGGCTTCCCACGAGACCCCAACAAGCATCCAAGAGGCCTCTGAACCACAACCCAGGCACGGCGGAAGGATGGACCGCAGGCCACCAGGTAAAACCGAACATGCCTCCAAGATGCCCCCACATCTGCCAATGACGGCATCAAGTGTCCACGAAGCCTCCTACTCCTACTCTTCCTCCTCCTGGGGACGCCACAAAACAGCTTCGAAAGTCCAAGAGAAATCTAAACGCGCCCCAGTGCGGCCAACGGGCCCAAAACAGCATGACTGCGGCGCCTCGTCGGTCCACGAGAACCCAAAAAACAACGGCTGCTCCGTGAACCCCCTGCCTGTCCTGACGTGGTGCTGCGAAGCGCTGTGAATAATTGGGCCTGATCGGTGAGGTCTTGCTGTGGCTGGCCACAAGCTCCAGCTCGTAAGGCCGCCAACGAAACCCTGTGATCAATTGGGTTCTGGTCGTGTTTGGCCCTGAGGTCCCCGCCGATGGCGTCCCGCCGGTAAGGTTCCCTGATCGGCGGAGTCTGGCCGTCTTTGCCTACATGCCCCTCCCACAAGGCTCTAACCCCAAGGTGGCCGCGGGCTTTTGTTGGTGGTTGCCCAATATCAGAAGCCAGGCGAAGGCTGGCAAAACCGTGGCTGCTAAAAGCAGCCCGTTTACTAGTCAGGGCGCCAAGCTTTGTTCCGGGAATTCGTCTCTTGCTTCCAGGAGGACCGCTTTAGCAGCCACGGATTTGCCAACCCTCGCCCAGCTTCCGACAGCAGTGTCCCGCTCCTGGGGTGGTCGCAAAGGGATAACTTGTGGTTGCCCGCAGGCCATGGGGTCCAGCGCCTCGGGTCCCGCCCGCGAGGCGGTCGCGGCATTTGATTGGTGGTCGCCCGTGGGTCCCGCCCGAGTCTTGGCCTGTTGCCCTGGTATGCTGGCTGCTGCGGTGGTTGCTCACAAAGTCCCCGCCCATGGGATCCAGGCCTTGATGGCCCTCGGTGTTGGCTGTTCAGGTGGCTTTTGTGATGACGCGCCCCTGATCGAGTTGCCGAATATTGCATGATAACATGTGACTGGTGCCAATTTTGGGGAAACTGCCGAAACACAGCGTCACTCAGAAGACCTTCGAACAAAAACATTACACAACGATACAGACATGCAGGAGAAATAAGACGAGGAGAGACAGAAAGAAGGAAGCCAGAGCACAGGGGGACGCCAGAAGGCAAGAACACGGACGTGAGGAATGGGTAGCGAGAGCTGTTGCTCATTCAGGTGGCCGTCCACAGAATACCTCGCATAGGGTCCTGGCCTGAGCTGCTTCTAGTCCAATTGAACAATGTTGGGCTCGCGCGCTGGTATGATGTATCAGTGGCATCATGTACGAATCGTGCCGGCGCGTGCACCCGAAATCGTCCGCGTGGGCGGGACCCCACGGGCAGCCACAGCAACAATTTAACACCCGGGCTGACTGAAGGTGGGGCCCTTCTGGGAACCGCCGCACCAGCCAACACACAAGACAACTCAAGCTGAAAGGCAGGACTCCATGCAACGACGCACCCTCCCTCCCACAAACCCTTGCAATAAAGGCCGAAACCCTGTGAGCGGGACTCTATGGGCAGACTCCTAGACGAAGACGGCTGTAACCAAGGCAACGACAATCGGGAGCCTACGCGAAGATGATCACGCTCTCACGACCAGGCCCCAATGTAATGATGACAACACTCCAGCAACCACGACGACCGAGGCCGAGACCCGAGACCTCATCGGCAAGATCCTTTGAGCTTGCGGCCACACGCCCATAAACAAGGCGACTAAGGCCTGGGCTCTGTGGGCGGGCCTCTATAGCCGGGATGTAACGAGAGTCGCACTTCCAGAGCAAGGGTAACTAAGGTCGGGACCCGATGGGCGGGCACCTATGCAACGACGGCCACACCTCCACGGCAGAACTAAAGCAACTCAAACCAGGCCCTCTGGCGGGATCCCAACGGCGGACACACTCGCACAATGGGGGCAAAGAAAACTGGAACCCTATGGCCAACGACGGCCTGATCCCAACAAGCGGCCCATGGCTTCACAATCTGTGCAAGACGCTCTTCGTGCAAATGCTGCTTTGGGGCTCCCCAGCCGACCATTCTGGGGCTCGAACGAAGGTTCGACGACAACCCAGCAGCATGCCAGCATGGCATCGTGCTGCTCCCGCGTGTCGAAAGCATAACACACGCTCCAGCCCCTGCCACTCCTCGAAGCAAACGCAGTCTGGGCCGCAGCTCTCACGCGCGGGCAGGCTGCCGAGCTGCACGCATGGACCGTCCGCCAGCGGGCAGGTCCAGGCCGAGCTTGGCGTAGACCTCGTGCAGGGCAGACACCAACACCTGCGGGGGCGCAACGACACTTGCGACCTGCCCAGGTCGCCTCACCTCGCACTCCGGGCTCCGCGCTGCGCGAAGCACGAGGCGCGCTCGCCATCGCGCGTTCGTGCCGCCCCTGAAGGAAAAACGCTCTGCCAGCACAGACCCCGAAACGAGAAGCGCTACTGCCTTCGCACCCATGCGGGTGAACTGGTTAACCTTCGTCGAGGCGCATCGCGAGTCGCTCTCCAAATCGCCCCAAGCTCCCCACGACGAGTGATCAAGACGATGATCGTGATGATGGTAAGAACGATGGTCCGATCACCAAATCGCGCGACCGACTCGACATAACCCTCAACGGAAGCGAACGTGCATCAATTGATCGACGCCCGCAGGATGAATCTCGCCGCGATCATGTCAACGGCCGAGTAACACGATGTGCTTAGCGTGCCAGGGTGGGCGCTATATAATATTACGGCTCCCAGCGCCAGGCGCTGGGCAAACCATCGACCACTGATGTCTGGAATCGGCTTCCAAAGAAATCGTGACTTGCTCGCTCCAACGATTGCCACCCTCTCAAAAGAAATGCGCCGATCCGGCGTGTGAGTTTCAGAGAGGGTGGGCTTGAGCTTCGCTCAAGCTCCGCTCTGGAAGGGGAGGGGGGTGTAGCGCTTTCGGGGGGGGGGGGGGGACCCTGCACTGGGGCCGGGGCCAGGCAAGCAAGGCCGGGGCCAGGGCCGGGGCCGGCGCCAGGGGCTTGGGCTGAGGCTTGGGCTGGAGCTGCTGGGGTCGGAGCCAGAGACCGGGCCGGGGCCAGGATCGGGGCCAGAGCTGGCAGGCCGGCGAGCGCCGCACGGCGCACCTCCCGCGGGCTGGACCCCGCGCTCCGGGGCTCCGGGGCCCGGACCTCGGAGGACCCAGCACTGGCCTCGCCCTATAGCTGGCCCCCGCCCCGGCATCTGCCTCGGCCCCCGCCCCGGTCGCGGCCCTGGCCCCGGCCCTGGCCCCGGCTTCGACCCCGGCCTCACCAGCCCCGGGCCCGGGCCCCGCCCTGGCCCCCCGGCCCCGGCCCCGGCCCCGGCGCGGGCCTCGGGCCCCGCCCCAGCCCCAACCCGCGGGCCCGGCGCGTCTTGGCCCCGGCCTCGGCCTCGGCCCTGGCCCGCGTCGTCCTTGGTCGTTCCACATCGTCACCGTCGTCATCGTTCGTCGTCGCTGGTCGCCGGTCGTCGGTCATCGCTCGCCGTGAATCGTCCATCGTCGTCGTCTGTCGTCGTCGTCGTCGTCGTCGTCGTCTGTCCTCGCCGATGGTCGTCGATGGTCCGTCGACATTCGTCGTTCGTCGTCGCCGTCGTCGTCTTCATCGCCGAAGTCTTCCACAGCGTCGGGAACGCCCCGGATCGGCGGCACTGGCCAAAGGCCACTACAATATAACATCAGCATGCGTCCGCAACTCCATGAGAACATCGGTGGCACTGTCAATCGCGTGCGCATGCACACTATTTCAGGCCAGTGTCCAGTGTGGCATAATGACACTGGTTGTGCCCAGCAATGGCCGTCTCAAGAACAGCACGGCATGACATGATTTTTCGAAACGCGCACTATGATACTGGCGCGCCCGCAGATGTGTTTGTCTAGGCATCCGGCCGCATTGATGCAACACAGGCAGGTGAGACACTGATTCGGAGAAGGTCTGATTCTGAGTGGAGGTAAGACGGAAGGGGGGAACAGGAAGAACATTGCGAGATGAAATACGCACCATGGATGGGTAGGGGAGTGGGGGGAGAAGAGGATGAGGGCCCAAGGGGGGCCTCCAGAAGAGCAGAATCCTTTCCACGTCTACTCTTCCTCTCCTCCTCTCAGAGATGATGAGAGGGGTAATGAGCCCAACTGACGCGACTCTCGCTGTGCTACTGTAGATGCGCCGAACCGCGCCGAGCGCGACAGATTTCCGGCGCGCCTTCAGAACCGAGTTCATGCCGCCATCTCGGCAGACGCATGAGGCAGCGACGGCGGCGAGGAAGCAGGAGAAGGAGGAAGTTGAGGGGGGTTGTGAGGGGGAGGAGGAGGAGTAGAAAACAAATGCACGGTGCACGCTGCGGCAAAATCTGGACCGTGCTCGGGCAGCCCGTGAACACTGTGCACTGGATTTTGACAGGGGCGGTGGGGCTGGGCTCACACTGTTCCCTCTGTGTGCAGGCCTGCCGTCCCTGTCAGAACACAGTGCAGCATGCATTTTGCGGCAACATCTGGACCGTGCGCGGGTGCCTCGTGGTCACCGTGCACTGATTGTCGACCCGGACGGGCGGCAGTGCCCTCAAAGTGTGCGGACTCACCATCCTCGTATACGCACAGTATACCCCACACTGCGCGGCAGAAGCTGGTTCAGGCGTGGGCGCCTGGCGATCATTCTACATTCGTGGCAGAGGGGGCGGCGGGGGGATGCCCTCATATTGCCTGCTCTGCGCAGGCTCATCATTCCTGACAAAAGCCCATGCGAAGCACACTTGGCGGAAAAATCTGGATCATGCGCGCCCCACGATTACACTTCGCATTGGTTTCCGACAGGGACGGCGGGTGTGCCCTCATATTACTTCCGACGGGGCTCATGAACTCAGGAGAATCGGGGCCCCAGGCAAGCTAGGATGCTGCCTATTCGTTCGGGGAGCGGGTGGGAGTGAGCGGCACGGCTTGCGGCTTGGGATAGCTTGATCACTATTCCCTCTTAATGATGCCCCCCTCCCTCTCGCATCCGACCAGCGAAAAACCCGGGACCATGCCGACCCCCCCCCACCATCCTGTCAAAGAAACAAATGCAAAAATGCACTTTGCACCAGAATCTGGATCATGCGCGGACGCCCCGCGATGACTTTGCTGATAGTTTCCAACCAAGACGGCAGGGGTGCCAGGATATTGCCTGCTGTGTCAGATGCCACCACCCCACCGTCCCTGGTAAAAAAAACACTGCAGAGTGACCTTCGCACTAAAATCTGGATCATGGGCGGACGCCCCGTGATCACTTTGCGTGGGTTTTTTGGCAGGGACGGCGGGGGGGGGCGCTGCCATATTGCCTGCTCTGTCCGGTGCCAGCACACCCAAGCCATCCCTGACAAAACACGACACAACATGCAATTTGCACCAGAATCTTTGAGCAGGGACCGACCGTCCCGGCATTCCTATAGTCCTACCACGAAATGTTCTTAGAACCCCAAAATGTTCTAAGAACCAAAGCAGTGTTCTTAGAACACTAGCCCGATGTGTTAGAACAAGACAGCCTCAGCCAGAAATGTTCTAAGAACATTTCGTGGAGACCACGAAGAGTTCTCAGAACAGTGTTTGGTAGGGCTATTGGCGAGCCAGGACGCTCCGCCACTGCTTGAATAATCTTGATCACGTGCGGGCGCCCCGCGATCACTCTGCACGTCTTCTGGAAGGGATGGCGGGGGGGGCCGGCATATTCCCTGCTGCGTGCAGGCCCACCATCCCTGTCAACAGACACTCCAAGGCTCACTCTCTGCCAGGGTCGGTGGGCGGGCGGCATACAGCGCGCCGTGTGCAGGCCCACAGACAATGTACAATGCCGCAGCGCCGCCGTCACTTTGCAGCGCTTTCGGACAGGGATGGTGGGGCGATCGACATATTGCCCAATGTGGTGCACCTGGTTCGCGTGGCGCACGTGGCACTTGCGGTGCACCTCGCCGGGCGTCTGCATTGGTTCCTGATGGTTGTCGATGGCTGCCCCTCCTTGCGCTGAGACTCGAGTGCTACTTATGCCTTAGGAGGGCGGGTGGGAATGAGCGACACGACTTGCGGCATGGGGTAGCTGGACCACTGCACTGCTCCCTATTAATGAACAGCCCCTCCTCCACCCGACTGGTATCCAACCCGTACCCATAGGCCCTAAACCCATCCCCGTCCAACAAAACAGTGCAAAATACACTTAGCCTCCAAACCTGGAGCATGCGCTGGCGCCCCGCGACCACTTTGCATGGTTTTTGATGTGATAGGCGGGGGTGCTGACATAATACTTGCCCAGTGCCATGCCAACACCCCCATCCTTGTCAACAAACGACGCAGGATGCACTTTTCAGCAACATCTAAAGTCATGCTCGGGGGCCCGCCCCGCGAGTAGTCTGTAGTACTTTGACAAAGACAGCGGGGGTGCCAACAGATGGCCTGCTGCGCGCAGGGCCACCATCCCTGTCAAAACACGACACAAACTGCACTTCGCGGTTAAATCTGGATCATGTGCGGGCACCCTGCGATCACGTTGCATGTTTTTGTCAGGGATGGCCGGGGTGCTGGCGCGTGTTTCCCGATGTGCGTGGGCGCACCTGGCACGATCTGCACTTGTCCCGAATGTGGCGCACCTGACGCGGCTGGAGCATGTTGCACAGTTGGCGCACGTGGCACATCTGTCGCCCACGGCGTGCCTGGCACTCTTGGGCTTCAGCGGCGCTTGGCGCGCCTGGTGCGCGTGGCGCAACTCGCCCCAGCGTTGCGAGCCTGGGGTCTACATTGGTACACAGTAGCTGTCCATCCAAAAACAACCGATGAATATGCTGAGACTCGGGTGCTACTAATGTGTTGGGAGGGCGGGTGGGAGTGAGCCAAACAGTTTGCGTCTGGGAGAGGTGTCTTGACCCCTCCCCATAACCTCTCCCTTGGGTCTGGACACGGGGGTACCCGAGGGGTTAGAGAGCGTCCAATATTGCCCAAGATGGCTCCCACAGGGTCTCAGATGCTGCAAGATGGTCTGCAAGATGGCCCATGCTACTTCACAATGGCTCAAGACAGCCTCCGACATCTTCCAAGGCCCCCCCGGAGAAGCCAATATCCTTCGACAACCTTCGGACAATCCGCCGACTCCCGCTTGCCGGGGGCGCAAAGGCGTGTGAGATGATTGGCTGTTCCCCTCCAAGCTTGCCCCCTCCCCTGGGGTCTGAAATCCGATTAGAAAGGGGGTGCAGGTGGGGTCTCCGAGCTCATCAACGCTCCTCCGGGGCCTCTGCAGCCTCTGGAGCCTTCATTTCTATACTCTGTGGCCTCCAAGTTGCCTAAGAATCGATCTACGCTTGCTCAAGCAGGGTTCCATCACGTGGAGGAGTCCTCGAAGACGACCCAGACAGCCTTAAGACTGTCCAAGAGGCTCTACAGACGCCCCAATAAGGCTCTAAGGCGATCCCTGAGAGGGCTCCATGAAGTAACAATCGTCCAAATCCATTGGAAGACGTATGATTTGAACATATTCGCATTTTTGGTCTCAAGGGCGTGCAAAACGTCTCAAGAGGCCCCCATGATCGCTCACGACGGCTTAAAAAGCTCCCAAGAGGGCCCCAAGACGGCCGAGTAGGGTCCCAAGACGGCCACAGATGGCCCAAGAGAGCCCCAACAGTGCCCCAAGAGAGGTAGCTCGAACTGACATTCCGAGCCCTTCGCCCCAAGAGGAGCTTCGAAACCGCCAGCAGGCGCCCGTCAAACTCCCAAGATGCCCGAAGAGGCCCGCAAGTGGTCCCACAGAGGCCCCCAGAGGGTCCCCAAGAGGCCGCCAAAGGCATCACCTATCAACTTTACCCCTCTTCTGGGTGTCGGCGGAATGCCGTTCTTGATGTCATGTTTTCTTGCCTTCTCGCCTTTTCGTTTCCGATTTGCTTTTGAAGCCTCAAGATGGCCCTAATATGGCCCAAGAAAACCTTAAGCAGGCCCCAAGACGGCTCCCCAAGAAGGCCTCGAGACGCCAGGTTTCGGCCCTCGAGGATGGAACCTGAATTAAAGCTTTCCTCTCTTGTTTACCATGGGGCCCAAGACTGTCCCAAGAGGATCCGAGCCCCGAGACCCCCCTGAAGATCTCCAATGGAGTCCAAGAGTCAAGAGGCCCCACGGGGACCCCAAGAGGGCTTCAAGATGGCTCTAAGAGTCCTCCAAGAGCCTCTCACAACAACACCAACAACATCACCACCCACAACACCAACACCACCACCAACAACACCAACACCAACAACAACAGCAACACCACCACCAACAACCACAACAACACCAATACCAACACCTCCACCACCAACAACGGAAACAGCAACAACAAGAACACCAACAACACCAACATCAACAACACCACCTCAAACAACAACATCAACAACAACACCACCAACAACATCAACATCAACATCACCAACAACAAAACCACCAACAACAACAACGACTACAATCATTTTAAGACTGTTCGCTCTTACCGGCACGCGTGTCTTGCATTCCGTATACCCCAACCCTCGATACCCGCCCACTTCGTCTTCGATTGCGCCCCCTTTCGGGGGGAATCTCTTCCTTGTCGGCCACTGACTGAAGTGTGAAGACGTCTCGAGCGAGAGCGCCGTTCCTGAGTTCGGGGGCATCTCTGGCCAAAGGCTCTCGGAATACCTATGGAGAAATATCGAACGGGAGCCCTTGTCGCCGTGTCCGGGCCTCCACTAACTTGCCTGAATTACGGGAAAATCTCGAGCGAAAGCGCCGTTCCTGAGTTCGGGAGCCTTCTTGGCCAGGGGCTCTCGGAGTAAATCGTGAGGATGTATCGAGCAGGAGCCCATGTCGTCGTGGCTGGGCCTCCGCCAACTGAATTGAATTGCGAAGAAATCCTGAGCGAGAGCGCCGTTCCTGAGTTCGGGGGCCTCCCTGGCCAGTGTGCCTCGGGGCAAATTGTGAGGAAGTATCGAGCGGGAGCCGTTGTTGTCGCAGCTGGGCCTCCAAGGGCCCACATTTAGGCTCAAACCAACGCTCGAGCGGGAGCCTTGTTTTCAGAGAAAATGTAACCGGCCTCGAAGCGAGAGCGTGCGGAACCGTTTCCGGAGATCAACAGTAATTCTTCTTTAGAAATGAGTATTCAACAACAACAACACCACCAACAACAGCAACAACAAAACCACCACCAACAACACCACCACCAACAACAGCAGCAACAACAACAGCAACAGCAACAACAATAAC